TGGTCGTGGGTGCGAGTTGGTCGTGGGTCTGAGTTGGTCGTGGGTCCGAGTTGGTAGTGGGTCCGAGTCGGCGTGGGTCCGAGTTGGCGTGGGTCCGAGTTGGCATGGGTTGGACTTGGTGTGGGTCCGAGTTGACCCAGTGTTGTAGGTCTCGAGACCTTTTTTTGCGGTCTCGGTCTCGGTTTTAGTCTCGTCCTATCAAAGTCTCGGTCTTGGGAGGGCTGGTCTCGGTCTCGAAAGATCTGGTCTCGGTCTCGGTCTCGGATGCCAAAGTCTCGGCACCATTTAAAATGGCTTTATTCAATTCCAAGCTAAATTACGCACGAGTCTAGTCTTATTTCAAACATAAAAGAATTTGTTAAGTGTAAGTTTTCATGCTGCAGAATGAGATTGAAGCTGGAATAAAGACCAGTCAATTCAGCTTGCCAATTCGGCACCCGTGCACAGTTACGTTGCCCATGTATTTCACTGGTACACATTGTACTGTCCTAGACGTGACCACCAGCTCTTGCATGTGCAAATGTAACACATTCTTGTGCATCATTTTTGACATTTAGGGAGTATTTGCTAGACTTAACGTTCAACAATAAGCCTTTTGCAAGTAAAGTTTGACCTTTGTTTGCAGCAAGTTGTACAATGTACACCGACTTCACAAAACTTTTTTGGCTGCAATTTAGGCAGTAATTTAAAGGGCCTAATTTTAAAATCGGAATTCGCCCAACTGACAACATTTTAGACACTGTTTTTTGGGGCAAGGTCTTGCATAGTTTGTTAGTTACATTTAAATTAAAAATCAATCAACCGGGTACCGGTAGGAAAGTTATCCAAAATATTTTTGAATTTTTTCAACCTGCCAATACTACATTTGGAAATGTGAGATTTCTTTTGTTTTTTTCTTTATGCCTGGTCTCGGTCTCGGTTTCGGGAGGCTTGGTCTCAGTCTCGGCCTTCAAAAGTCTTGGTCTCAGAAGTCTGGTCTTGGTCTCGAAAGAGCTGGTCTCGGTCTTGGTCTCGGCCTCGAATGCCTCGGTCTTGGTCTTGGTCTTTGTCTCGGACATGGAGGTCTCGACTACAACACTGAGTTGACCTGATACCGCCTGGGCCTAGCCCCACTAGTGTGGCCACGGTATTGCTGCGCTGTCCCACTAGTGTGGCTGCAGTATTGCTCAGTTTGCTGTGCGGTATTGCTGTCGCATCGCAACTCACGCGCCTGAGCGACAAGATCGATTTGCATAAACCCGACATCAAAGCTTTGGGGTCATTGCTTCTTACATTAAAGATGGCTGCCATCAACAGACGATTTTCGGGTGCATATGGGCTCCAGGAAGATGCCTAAATTTCTCGAAAATTGGATATAAGGACAACTAAACAACCCGGAGGAAAGAAGCTGAGACATCATAGAATACAACCATATATGTAAAAGAATTTGCGTTTTTTTGGGACAAACTCTTCAGTAGTTTGGGGAACCTGGCGTGTGGCCAGAGGTACAGCTCAGCAATACCGCTGCCACACTACTAGTGGGGCTAGCCTGGGCCTAGCTCTACTGAGTAGAGTGCTGGAACTACCAGTACGGTACGTACCCTCCATACTAGCGCTCCACCGAATAGGCATACTAATTCTACATATTTATAAAACTGACATACGGTAAGCTAGCCCTAGTCTATGGCCCGCACTGGAGTAGACTCTGCATGCTGGGCCATATGTACATGTACATTGCTTCGCAAGGTTGAGGATTTGAAAATAATAAAACCAAAAATATTATTGCAATCATTTCAACTCATACCCTTACCTCTCAATATTACCCCCAAATTAGGACTTCCCCATGCTTCCTTCTGGTGAAATTCGTCTCTTTATTAAAAATTAATTTATCAACCGAAGTCAGCTAGCCAAGTATAAGTAGTCTGGTTCTCCGAGCAAAATATTTCCCTTCCAATGATTTTGTTTAAAACAAAAATGTATCAAATTTCAGTATACGTTTTATGTACACGTATAAGTTATATATCGGATATCATTATTTGGGCTACAAAGAAAGTCATAAGACAGGGATCAAATGATAGAATTTAAAAAAAAATGATCATTTTCAAATTTTCCTACAGTAGCTTCCGGTGTGATGGCGTCATAATTTTGAAACCTTGCAAAGTTATATGTAGTTAATAAAAAAATAGCAAGAGGCGATTTGGTTAAATTTGGATGGATGGTTTTTAAATAAAAAAAAAGAAGGAAATCCTATTTGATTTACCGCTAAAGGGCGCCCTTTCAAATGATGACGTCATAATGCTGTTTGGTGTCCTTTGCTCCGTTCTTAACACTTCCATAATTCTTTCAATTCGCTTTCAAGTTATATTCAATTTGTATTGCACTTCCGGTAACACCAGAAGTGAAGGTCAAGTGGTTTTGTGCCCGGGAATAAGAATTGTTGCCCGAGGCATCATTTACAACCTCACGCAAAAACAAACACAATACTCTATTTAGTTCTAAAGATATAGCTGAAACTAGTTTTGACCCTTAAATTGCTTGTAATTTAATACCTGAAAACGTCATGATGACGTCAGATTTTTTTTTAACATCCTCGGACGGGGGTTCGAGTTCGTACCAGGTTTCATCACAATCCTGTAAATCGTTTGGAAGAAATTCGGTTCGTTTTGATTTTGAGGCTTCTGTCTGTATTTTAAATTCACCTAACTTAGACCTTTTGGTTGACCCGGAAGTAAAGGTCAAGCGAGTTCATGTACACGGCAAAAAATGTTCATCAATTAATGGTCTATCCGATTACAAGGTTGGAACATGATTGATCATTTTGGTCAAGAGTTATACTTATAGGTAAAAATCGCTTGTAATTTGACACTTGATGGCGTCATCATGATAATATGTATAATAGTAATTATTAATAGTAATATGCACCACTAGGGATGAGGGTCGATATATCATGAAAATTACAGGTTCATAATATATACCGTTTACGAGAAAACCTGCGGAGAAAAATTGTCCGGAAAAAAAAGGAAATGTTTTACGTTAATGTGTAAATCATGCGACCGGTGTGTTAATCAAATCTCTGCTTTTTAAAATTAACATCAACTTGTGACAATTGAGGATATATGTAAAGCCTAGTTTCCATATCGATGTAAGAAATGGAAAGTGAAGTGCAAACAGGACCCAAACTGCATAGTGAAGTGCAAACAGGACCAACACTGCAACGCAGACATATGGAAACATTTCATCCGGATGTGTCGCCGACAACTCAGACAGATGCAAACTACCTCGTACACGATCGGCAAAGTTGAACCCGGTTTAACTTTGCCGACGGTTCTGCGTACTGTTAGCGCAGCCTGCATAAGCTTATCGTTGATGTGGAATCCAGGCTTAAGTGTAGGCGAGTGAGGTTATACATACATACCTATGTACACATTCATGTAAATATGCACATGATGTGATGTGTACGGTACATACATGTACATAGAGTATTATGTGCATATACACCTACATTTGTGTACGGTATCATCATTTTTGTTGCATCAAACTGAGATACTTTTGTAGTGCATTGTCTGGTTTCACTACATACCAGTTTCTCATTGGCACTTCAGTGTCCTTGATCTGAATTAATTGTGTTGTGACTTCAACTTTTAAGACTAACATGGACAATATACCTTTTGTACTTGAAGTCAGCTGTGTTGCAGTCCATGGTGTTTTGTATGATCGAGGAGTGCAAAAAGGTGAAGCTGATCATTGACTGTCATTGGCCATTGTTATGTGGTTTAATAATAATCGCAATTATCGATGAACACCATCTGCCAAATGAAAACATCAGACTTGTATGACTTTTAACTCAGACTCGGACTCAAGTCAGTCTCGAGTTCCATTTTCCATGACTCGGACTTGAGTCACGATGACAAATGACTTGGACTCGGACTGGGACTCGATCTTGCGGACTCAGACTTGGACTCGGACTCGACCTGCATGACTTGGTACTTGATATGACCAAAATTACAACAAAATCACTTATTTTCTTTCATCAATATATCATAACAAAATTTGTTTGAAGACCTTCCTGTCCTGAGCAAGCGATACAGTCAGTGCTGTGCAGCAGAAATGCATAAGTACTGTACATATGTGCAGCTGGCTTGTTTCTGATAATTATATTGATTGGGAAATTAATGTATGGAAACATGTACCCCAGCGTCCACACTTGATATTGTGTAAATGCAACCTTGATAGTGTTCGGTACCAGATTATCCTTTCGAGACACTGATGCATTGACATGTTATCCATGTAGTTCCAGTTATTAGACAAAAGCTGTTACAAATGGAAACATTTACACTTTCAGCAGTACCTCAAGTCTATTTCCAACATATTAAAAGTGACTCTTGACTTTGACTCGGACTTGACCTGCATGACTCGGGACTTGCATGGACTCGGGATTTGGACTCGGACTCAAGAGAGGTGACTCGGACTCAGACTCGATGTTTTGTGACTCAAATACAAGTCTGGAAGACATGAACATGTAGTTTTAAACTTTTAATACATCAAGGATATTTGTTAGCCTCAGAAATGTTCTTGTAGAGCCCTACACTGTCTCATGGTATTCATCTTTGATCACACATTCGCCAACTCTTGCCATTTCTTTGCATGTCATTCAAGTAATATGCATGTACATGTACTTCTGTTGTTTTTTTGTAAAGATCATGAATTTGATGCTTTTCATGGAAGTGTACATGTACACTGGCAAAAGAACTATATTGTACAAACTGAAAACATAATTTTTTTGGTACATATACATGTATGTAAACATATGCCAAGTTGTTGGGTCACTGCTCAAATTGTTTTTAAATACGAGGCATTGCCTCAAACGAAAAGTGGGGGCGAGTCACCCATGAAACGTGCCTGAAACGCGAGATCAACCGAGAACATCTCATGAACATGCACACATGCACGCCCTTTGCACTTTATTGTATAGCGGTGATGTGAATGTACTAATTGAAAGGATTTGTTTATTTCTCTGACAGCTTGGTTCAATGTATATGGTGTGCTGAGTACATATTGCCGGCTATTACTGGACTATGAACATGGCCCGTGTTCTGGGCTTGTGCACACTGCTTCTAATCCTGACAGTTAGTCTGATGGCATGGTTGTTGAGTTATGCCCTGGATCATTACACCCTTCCTCCAGCTCATGATGGACCCCCACACCCACTGGGAGATGTGGCACCATACCCTGGGGACAAAATGGACAATCTCTGGTGGTTCATACATGTAAGTGTTAGGATATTTTCATTGTTATTTTAATAGGCCATGTTCAGGCAATGTTTTCGTATTTAACTCATATTGGGTGAAACAAATTTGGTATTGTAACTTTTCCCCAGGATTGAAAGCTCTCGTGAAATATTTATTGGGGCAAATTCATGATCCATAGGCCAATGAAGCATGTAAACAAAAAGCCATGGTGTAACCTCATCAACAGCGATGCTTTGAAATGGAAGCGCTTTTTGGTTTATATTGACATTGTGGAGGGCAAGGCAACTCAATTGGATGCAAATCAGTAACGTGTTATTGTGTTTCAAGTAATGTTAAAAGGGTGTCACTCTTTGATCAAGTTTTACACGCATCAAGTGTGCACGTGCCTATTTCATTTCTCTCAAATATTCAAACCGGCAAAAACCTATTGGAATATTCGGTTGATATTGGAATACTCGGTATATTTGGGACAGCCCCAACCAATTTAATGCACTGTCGTCAACTATTGTGCTCTTGTGAGATCTGCCAAATTTCATGATAGATCATATGTGTGTAACAATCAAGATGCTCAATTAAAAAGTTTGAAAAGTTTGGTAAAAATACACCTCCTCATGGAGGATTACTCTTTCCGTACTCACCGAAATCCTGTTTGCTTTTCAACAGATATCAGACATCCATATATCACGCTTCAGGGATCCTCAAAGAACAACTGATTTCAACAAATTCTGCATTGAAAATATAGATGTTGTGAAGCCAGAACTTGTTCTAGCTACAGGTGAGTGAGTTAAGGGATTATGTGCAGTCTTTTTAAAGGTAAGAAAATAGTTTGAGAATTCATGTTTAAGCCCATTATTAGCAGTGTGCTCCCCAAAGCTATAGAATGCTAAGCAGTTTCGGCCACAGGGAGTATAAGGCAGGGTGGTTTCAGGCAACACAGGGACGTATGTGTGTGTGCAATCTGATGGAAGAAAGGCACTCATGGCCTAGTGACATACACATCTCACAATCAATTCTATACATTGTATTTGGTTGACATGATTGATAGTTGCAGGTTAGTGCTATAAATGAATATTGATGAGGATTGCTAAGTCAAATGACTTTCAGAAGACCCCAGTGATAAAAACACCCACTTCCAAAATTCAGGAAAAATACTCGCAACTCTCCAAGGTGTGTGAGGCACACATCAAATTAAAGTTTATTTCATCATCTTTTTTTTTGGAGGTAATCAAATGACTTCTGGGAGTATTTTTTATCCAAAGATAATCTCCCCTAGAAGTAGTCCTGAAGCCCATCACCATTTTGAAAAATGATGCCTACGCTTCATTGCAAAATAGAGCAATTTTAGGGCCCAATTTCATCCAAATTTCACAGAAATACAAGTCCTGTTCACGGCTCCACCCTTATTTATTTATTTTTTTCACAAACCCTCAAGTTCATGGCCTCCGAAATGCTTTAATAGCAAAACATTTGGCCAGCGTAGGCAATTTTGGGCCTATTTACTGGCCTGCAACCTTTACTTTGACAAGAAAGGTTAATTGCTCATTGGCACTACACAGATACTCAGTACATCCATGAGTTTCTTACCATGAGCTAAGTCAGATGACTCACAATAGATGCAATGTTCTTTGACTGATTTGTTGTACTCTCATTTATATCTAAAAACTGTGACATTGATTTGTTGGGGCTATAATTCATGTACATTAATGTTAACATACATTTTCATGTGTGGTGATCTAGTTAATGACTGCAGATATTGAACATTTCTTTTAAACATGTTAAATTGCTGGAATTTTGTTTATTGCGACATCACAATTTGCAGTTATTTCCAAAGAGATGGTTTATTTATTTAATTTGTTTCAATTGAGACTACACAGATGTCAAAGACCACATTGAAACAATGCATTATACCTGTGAATGTGTACAATTTCCACACATTTTTTTGAAAAACAAACAAACAACCCTAACAATTAACCCAACAAACAAACAAAACCTTTAGTCAAGATTGTCAAAATATCTTGGGTACGGTAATCCAAAAAGAGGGGTGGTCAGAAATGAGCATAAAGTATTACAGAGCTAGATGCCCTTATTCACAAGCAATTGTTTTCCATCCCGTCAAGCCATTGTTCATGGTTTCGCAATACAATCTATGCAGCTAATCAGTGCTCAACACTGTTTCAGTTGTGTATCTACAATGCCATGTGCTTACCACTGATAGGCATAATTAGGTCATATATCACCATTGTATTCTGGAAGTCAACCTGATTCAGAAAAACATGTTTGACCTTTCATTCTCACTGCTTCTTTGACAATGCAGTGTTGACATTACATGTAGGTACATGTAGATATGTGTGGTTGGTGTAAGAGTTCCGTGAACCTGTGCAATCAACATGCATCATTATGCAATAAAATACTAGCAGCCTACATGTACATGTATTAATATGAAGAAAGTCACAAGGTCTGTACTGGCCTCTGCTGTGGTTGGATGATGCAATTTATTCAACTGTTGCTTGTGCATTGACTACAAATTGCATCATGTGAACATGAGCCTACAATGTACGTACATGTACCTCCATGATGTGAACAAGGATAGGGTCAAGTGAAAGTCTGCACGTACATCAATGAAATTTACTTACACGGTACTGTAGCTGTACGTATACATTATGTACTTGTAGAAGAACATGAGAACATTGTATAGAATAGAATAGACTAGAAACTTCATTATCCCAACAAAGGAGGAATTCTATTGGTCTTTTTACATGTACACATAAAAAATACTAACAAGAATTATACAGATAGACATTAGTTATTTTCTGTTCTTGTTTATGTTACTTACGAACCCCGAATTCAACATGCATAAAAAGTGATTTCCATGAAGTTTTTTGTATACATACACAATTTTATGGAAATCGTTTGCACATGACTGCAGACTGTACATGTACCGTACAGGTAGGTACAAGTACATGCACTCCAGGATTGTCCAACCAATGCATCTGTATGTGTTAATATACCTTCCCGCATTGTCTGTGCTAATTAAAGCAGATATGACTTCTTCAAATACACCACATGTGTATTACACATCAGTTTACTTTCACTTTATCTTTGTACATGTACATGTACATGTATTGTCATTTCAAGCATGTTCTCAAACTTTAAATATAGCTGCAAACTTCTTAGCAGGAACTGGATCGAGTGACCTAGTGTACAAGTATATACACGTAAATTGAAAAAAGTTAAAAGAGCTGAAAACTAACACAAAATATAGACAAAATCAAAGTTTACAATGTATTTCATGCTTCGACTTACTTGCATGTAATTGTGTACTTTTTATGGCAGAAGTGGAAGGTACCGGTAGTACATGTGAGGAAGAGAATACCATTTGAGATTACATGTACAATATTCAAGTATAAAATAGTCCAAACTGATAGTAAAACAATTTCCATTTTTGAGAGATTATTAATTTCATAGTAGTTGACAGAATGAATATAGCCTAAGTACATGTATGTTAGCAAATAAAATGCGTTAAACAAATATAACAATATGTCCCAAAATTATTTTGTTGTATCAGTTATGAACTGATTCACATGCATTTACTACAGTGTTAATGAGTGTGTCACTTCTCTTACAGGTGATCTTACTGATGCTAAAACACTAGATAACCTGGGTTCCAGACAATATGAAGTGGAGTGGCAAGCATACAAAAATGCCCTGGATCATGCCCATGTGACTGAGAAAACAATCTGGATAGATGTCAGAGGAAACCATGGTAACAAAGGAAATTCCTGATTTGTTTATTTGTATTAGAACAAGGAGGTTTACATACAAATAATATGCTCAACTATTCATATAAAACCAAACAATTTAACCCTTACTCTCTGAGGGTAGTTTACTGCATGTCAGTTGGTTATGCCAATGCCCTCCAGCTGCAGTTTATTGGAGGATACTTTGATGTAGCAGTGAAGGCTCCAATTGGCAGGAGTTGGAGGCCCTGGAGGGTACCTGATACTGACCAGCTGGGGGCACTCACTTTGTTATCAGAGGACTCTCATTGTTCTCTGTGGCATGTATTGGAGTGCCTGTCCAGTTACCCTTGAAATGACATGGCAGATATTGGAGGGCCATGCAAAAAACATAGGAGATTTTCTTGAGGCACATATTGGCATGCGTTGGAGGGTCTAGTAGGGTAAGGGTTAATGTGTACATGTGTGATGAAAGAGAACTGGGTGATTGAAATGAATTGCACTGATGAGTTCATTCAATCTCAAATCTTCAGTTTAATTTGATACGACTCGATTCAATTCATCAGTGCAATTCATTCCGTTCACCCAGTTGTCTTTGTCTCAGTTTGCTTTAACCAGTTTAGTTTATCAATGTATATTAAAATATTGTTGTGGAATAAATGGTCACGGTAAACACAGTCCTCAACCACAGAATTGTGTATCGACTTATCCACCTCAACACCCTTAACTTTTTTTTGCACTAGCCAGCTGGACTATTGAACCAGACTCTTAACTAGCCCGCGGGCCGTTTCACTAGTCCGCAATATAATTTTTTGTTTTTCTTTGCTTTTTTTGGTTTTTCTTTTCTATATTAATTTATATGCTAGCGAATTCAGTGCCATACTCGGCGGCGCAACAACATGAAAAAAGCCGAATGCCCGTCAATATCACATTATTAATTTTCTATGACTGACTTTTTAAAAAGTCTGCGAAAATCCGCAGCTATGCGGAAAAGCTTCATACCTTATCTCAATAATTTTGACTCGCCAGGCGGGCTACTAGAGAATTGCTTTGAAAAGCCCGCCATTTTGACTTGCATTTGGCTAGCGGGCTACCGCTAAGGTCCAACCCTGTTGTTGCCTGTCCTCATACCAGAGGTGTACTCTTACTCACCAGAATGCTAACAAAACTAGTTCAAATGTTAGAAAAGCTCTGCAAACATTCAAACCACAAGTAAAATGATACATTCATTGGAAAACTGGTGGTCAAAATGGTGGTGCCCACTGTTACAGGTGCCACTGTTTGGATAGAAGCTTTTACAAACCTCAAATACCCCTGTACTTACTGTGAGTGTGTGACTGGAAAGTGAAATTTTAAATTGATTTGGCCTGTGGTAAAAATAGAAGAAGATGTCTTTACGTGAGTTGGCCATTTGAGAAGACCGTACACTGCTGTTGCTAATGTGCACCAACATTGGTGACAAACAGTTTGTCCCATTTGCCTGAACTTGGCAAAAGTTGGCAGACATTAGCATTGTTTGTGTTTGTGGATGTGGTATTCACCCAAAGGCTCTTGTCTGTGCATGTATTGATACAAAATTGGGCTTTTGAAATATCTTTAATTGAATAAAACTGGTTTGATTGAGTTTCTTTTTACATAATTGTTTACGTCTTACACAGATGCCTTTGGTGTTCCAAGCGCAGATCACAAGTTAAATTATTACAGGTAATGTCAGTGTTTTCAAAGTTTAAAAAGTCTCTCTAGCACACTGTTTTGGAAAAACTAAAAGCATGGGAAATAAAGGTTTGGAGCAGTTTCTCAAACTGTACAAAATTGCAGAGACTTCATACGGAGGTCCTATAGCCTGTGACCTAACACCCCGCAGCCATTTTCTCCATAATTTAACATTTGTTCTCTCCGTAATCTTTAAAATATAACACAGTAAATTTATACGTAGGTCCCACGTCACCTATAATTCTTTCGCTCACTTGGATTCTTACCACATGTCCAAGAGTGCAGCATTAAATGGAATCTCTTTTCATTTGTATTATACAGGAAATATTCTGTATTGGGTGAGAGTGGTGACCATACATTCCGTTATCAACACAAGCTCCCCTTTGGCACCTACTCCTTTGTGTCAGTGTATGCTGTACTTAATCCAGGCCCCAGACGACCATTCAATTTCTTTGGAATACTCTATGAGGTAAGAACAAAATTACACACGTGATAAAAACTTAGATTTCATGGCTATTAAAGAAATTAGTCGCCCAGTTTGCCAATAAAATCCAATTTGGTTTGTAAATTGTAGTGGAAACGTGTGCATGTATTTAACACTTATTTAATCTCCTATCTAGTAAGGCTAAGGCACGAAGGTTTCCTTTTTAAATAATGCAGGCAGGTGTATAAAATGTGAAAACATCAGCCCTACATGTTTTTGATACAAGTACATTATTCTAGTTATGAAAACAAAAAATTCAAATAAAACAAAACAAACGTGACTATAAATGCAACAGGGTTTGGCACATTGATATGAGTTCATTGTTACTTAGGAATGAGACAGTGTTAAGCAAAGCTTTTTCCAAAGCTGCTCAGAATGTTAGATATATTCCATAGTGAAGCAGGCAACTTTAAACTACCATTCCCATTTCGAGATATTAGCAGTGGTTAATGAAACAGTGATCTGTACACAATTTTGCTTTTTTTCCTTTTATAGTCAGAGTTGCAGAAACTCGAGGAATTCAGCAAGGAGACAAGACACAGCAACCACACAGTGTTCTTTGGACACTATCCCACATCTACCATCATAGCACCTCATACCAGGCTCTCTAATGCTCTCAAGTAAGCAGTCCAATTACAAACCATTGGAATAATTGAAATATTTCAGCCACCCTAAAAACAAACAAATTCCATCAAGCTCTTCCCCTAATTTCATATTAAAATTCTTTCAAGAGTTTCTGTCATTTTAAGGAACTACATCAAACTTGCTAGGAAACTGTTTAAAAAAGTATCTTGAAAATCACTTCTTAAATATCTGACATTTTGTGTGACAAGTAAAAAGAACAATACTAGTAACTCTTTTCTGCTAACTGTTAAGCAATGCAATGAAATTGGGACAAGGTTGTAAACAGTGCTGATAACTTCATTGCAGGAAGATTTCATGAAGAGTTATTCAGAATCCTGCAACTATAATCTGATAGAATAGGCCTATTACAGATAAACATGTCCACAACTTGTCCCTGATATTAAATGACATGTGACTCTTAAGCTATGTCGTTTCAATTTTAGTTTTCAATTTCAGTTTCAATGGAATTTCAATTTCATAATCTAAGACAGTGATCTTCTTTGAAATACAGGAATGGCATATCATATCTGTGTGGTCACCTGCACAGTTTTGGGGGTTTGGTTCCCAACATGAATGCTGTGCACAAAAACGGTCTACTGGAGTTAGAACTTGAAGATTGGAAGCAAAACCGAATGTAAGTATCATGTATCAAAATGAGATTCATCAATTATACATCTTGTTTTTGAAAAATTGAAACAATCCACTTTGTTTATTTATTTGAGCACAATGAGCCATAAGTAATGAGAAATAACAATCTTATGATTTTGTCCCAAGGTATCGTGTCATGGCATTTGACCATGACCTGCTGTCATTTGTTGATGTCAAGTTTGGAACATGGCCAGTCATTCTGATCACTAATCCCAAACGGGCCAGATTCATGTCACCAAGCCATGAACCGCTGCAGAAAATGCGACACTCAACACATATAAGGTATGTCAGTTTGGCTTTGATGGCTGAAGCAAATACGTCTACAACATTATTAATTATCCCAAGAGCACGAATGGAACACAGAACAATGTAGTGCGTCTGTGTCCCATATGCCACAAGGCTGAAGGCATCATGGCATATGGAACACAGAAGCACTACATTTTCCACATCGTTTCGGTTTGCGGTAACACCATGTGGTAATAACTGCTGTCGCTCAGTAGATATTTAGTTCTGATCAGAACTTGTCCTGCTTATTATCAACTTTGGCTAAGTAGTTTTTGTTCTGATAAGAACAGTCCTGCTTAGTTGGTCTCAAAATTTTGACTAGCCTGCTCTAGTCATCATCAGGAGACTGAACTAAAAACTACTTACCGAAAGTTGATAATAAGCAGGACAATTTCTTATCAGAACTAAATATCTACTGAGGGACAGTAGTTATTACCACATGGTGTTACCGCAAACTGAAACGATACCAGTACTCAACCATGCAAAGCCTAAAATCTTATACATTTTCCATGTTGTACATGTGCAAGTGGGATTAAGAATTCGTCTTCAAGCAAACTTGTCATATATTAAAGACAGAATGTACACGCTGTGGACACTTTTCAGTAGTTATCCTATTCCATGTACATGTGGCAGGAATAGTGCACACATCTTAGAATTTAGCACGATACGTGGAGTGCAATATGGACCGTGGGATAATATCAAACTGTTCTTGCCATGGATTGACCAATCAGGATAGAGGATTCATGTTTCCTTGAAGATAGATCGCATTACTACATCAGCTACTTGCATTTGATTAAACAACACCTTTCTCTGAACTGATTGGGGAACGTGGCTTAGTGGTTGGGTTTGTGACTTACTTTCAATTTACTATTACTCAGAACTTGTAAATAACAATGGCATTCATATGTTTCAATCTGGTTGTTGAATTATGTGCAGAGTGTGGTATTCCATCTGAATATAATATTCTTATGAACCAAGAGAAACATGCTATGTCAGAAGAATATCCCCCAAATTAAGATCTTCAAAAACACAAATATTTCCTTTGTTTTGGTTGATATCTTAAACTGAACAAGCTTTGTTGTTTCATATGTGACAGGTTTTTAGTGTATTCTCCCAGTGCCATCTTGTCAGCCACTGTTGAGGTGGATGGTAAACCCTTGGGATCTGCCAAGCATGTGAAGGGACCGCTGTATGTCATCCCGTGGGATCCCTCCAAGTATAGCAGTGGATTGCATGTCATTGAAGTCACTGCAAAAGTAAGGCCATTACATCAAGTGAACCATACATTTAAACTTACAAATAAAAATTAAAATGACCTATTCCAGGCACCTTTGATAAACTAAGTAGAATGTTCCTATTGTGGTCTCAAGATGGATCAAGGAGAGAGTGTATTGCAGTTCAATTTCTATTTGTTTCATGAACCTTTTGACTTATTCTGAGCTTTTGCCTTTGAGAAAGGCCCTATTAGGATCCAACTGTCAGGCCCTTCATAGATCTCTGGTCAATCTATTCTATTCAGTAAGCAGTTTGTAGAAGCTTCATTAAGTAAACATTCTGAGCTTGTGTAATCAGTATAAGTATTTAATTAGCATTTCAACAAGTCAGTTGATACTCCTTGCTGCCACAAAAAGACATAAGGAGTTGCTGCTTGAGGAAGCTATCCCTTACTCTCTATCACCATGCAAAGCCATCCAAGTGAGTTGTTTGCTGTTGGAATTAAATTGGGATGATTGAAAAGAAATTAGACTTTGAATTTGAATTGGGTAGGTCATTGATTCCAAATGGTTGCCCATTGTGCATGGTAGGATGCTGCAGGGCACACTCACATGGAGGGGTACCGCTTCTCTCTGGATGGCAGTCGGCCAGCACAGTGGTTGATGTCGGCTATGTTTCTCATGACTGATATACCATTTGTTGTAAGTAATGAGTCTGTTAGCTTTTGCAAGAATTTGTTTCATTTATTAAAGGCAGAATTGACCAAATGTGGCCAAGTCAAGAAACACAACATATGGAATCAAAATGTTAACCATTGTGCTTTATGCATGTTATTCTACTGCATTGTATGATTGTTGGCATGCAGTTACTGAACGGGTAGTAGAGTTTACTACTTTAGTGAGCCTCAGTTTTTTTAATATTTTAATAATGATAAACTTTAAACTCACTTTAATCTTGTGCTTAAATTAATTTGTGAGATTTTAAAATCTTTTTCATGTAGAAAATTTCTGAAACTGAACAGAATTTGCTTTGGTTTCTGTCATAAAACATAAATTTTAGGAGCCACTTTCCTTAACAAGTGATGAAGATGGTGACTTTATTTTCTCTTGAGACAGTTCTGGGTGATAACAGTAGGTTCAGTGTCAGTGTTTGTTCTAGCACTGCTCTCATTGCGATGGATTGCAAAGAAAAACAACGGTGAGTTGACTGGCAAACTAAAGAATAGATAGTTGTGAGTTTCATTTGATGGGTGTGTTTTTAAATTAAATGAAAGGTTTGAGTTCAACAACTTGATGTTCTAAAGATGTTCTAAAGACTGCATGCTCAAGGATTCCCTTGTGGGAAAACCATTACCAGAAGATCTAGTTGGGCTTTAACCCATAATTTTCACTAATTTTGTATTCCTTTGCTATTTTCATGATTACTGCTATCAATTGTTTATAATTGATAACACATTATTTAAAACATGTAGAGTTTCTGTCCTGTAACTCCTAAAACTGTCATATTGAAAAGGCAAATTAAAACAATTGATGCAAATATTGATATTCTTAACTTAAGCCCAAAACATGGATCTTTGTTAAGAGATTCGTTTGATTGTTTTAATCAAGAAGATTTGAACACTCTTGTGTTTTACATTGAAAAGTAACTCTGTTATTATGCATGTTTAGATTTGAGGTGTTTTCATGATGACATGATGAAATGTGTGATCACTGTTTAAGTAACACATTTACATTCCATCAATTGTTTAGTAAACCAAAACCAAAGCCTTATGTAATCAGACTTACTGAATGTGAATCTGGCAACGGAATTGAGCCTTTATGTGTTTACCGTTTCTGCAGTGCGTTATCGGACCAGCATCATTCGTAGTCTGTGTGGTCTTGTATGCAGTGAGACCTATTTCTACTGGCTTCTTATAATAGGTGTTTATCCTTTGGTCGGTAAGTACATTGCTGCTATCCGGCTTTGTAAAGTAATCATATTGTATTCAAGATGTGTGGTATATACAGAATAAGAACTAAGCAGGACTGTTCTTATCAGAACTAAAAACTACTTAGCCAAAACACTGCCGCTGGAACAAACTTTTGCCAGGGGGTGCTGGAATTTCTTTAGGACGGACAAAATTAATGTGAAAGGAGAGCACAAAGCCCTTACGTCGTGGCTTAATTTGGAATATATGGATGCTCTATGGTGCAATCTGAGGCGATTCCTGGCCACTTTCATTTGACTTTTTAAGCAAAAGTTTTTTGAGATTATAAAGACAATTTATTTCATTATTTTGTTTAGAATATACTGTTGCTCTTATAACGTTTAACTGTACTGAAAAGTGGAAAACCCTGTATTTTTATCTCCATATTTGGTTTCATTTAATTCTGGAAAAAGACTTGTATCATTATGCGTGACATCGCATGTAAATATTATTGTTGCACGGCTGCTTTCTTACATTTAGTAAAGTTCTTCGAGTATGTTTTGTTTTATTTTCCGAGCCCTTACGGCGTGGGGCAACAGGGCCAGGGGCCGCTTTAAGGCCCTGGAAAATGTTGGATGCACTGTGATGAAAATATACTGAAGTATACTGAAACTTATAAAACCCGAAAGGATGTTTTTTGGTTCAAGTTAAAACAGATGGTTCCACTGGAAGCGGATGAATTTCTGTTCATAAAAATATTCACATAGTTCTAACTCACTAAACGATGTAGCTCTCTATATATTTGCAGTGTTATCTGTTTGTTACAGGGAATGGCAAATATAAAAGACTAGAAGACCAAATGCATCTTTATGTTTATGATCGGTAGATGGCAAGTTTGGGGCTAGGCAAGGATTTATCAGTCTACTGAGATTTTATGAGGAAAAACTTGCCGAGGGTAAAACATGAATAGCTTTTTTTATTAAAACGAAACTACACTGGAATTGGCGTAATGCATGACTAGTTTCAATGAAAAGCCCGTCCCACTCCTATTAGGTTGGGGATGTGTGTAAACCTTGCTATTTGTTAATGTTGACTGGTACAGAATGCTAGCAACGTCAATGAAACTTTTAAATGAAAAGATAAACCTTCAGGGGAATGGTGTGAACATTTACCCCTATTGAAAGATCGAATGAAAAAATCCTGGCAAGCATAATCAACTTTGCCACCATTGTCATGGCCGAGGTTATCGCTTTCGGGTCAAAGCTTCCATCATGGCAGAAATATCATAGACATGTCATGATTTTAGATACCTTGAGAGAAATATCGATTCTGCACTGCCTGAAGATTTAGAAAATACCTCCTCTTGATATTTTACAGTGTTTGTGCTAGACTTTTGAAGCGCCGCGCTTAACCGTGGCAAAACTAGAAACGAACAAAACGAAGGAGATATTTGTAGAGCAAGCATAATGCATAGTGTAGCGTCGCAATTTCATCGTCGTAGAACACTGCTGGCTGGAACACATTTTTGCCCGGGAGAAAGGGTGTTGAAGCATATTCCAGCACCCCAATCCAAAAAGTTGGGGGTGCTGCAGCACCCACAGCACCCCCCATTCCCGCAGGCTTAAGCCAAAGTTGATAGTAAGCAGGACAAGTTCTTATCAGAACTAAATATCTACTGAGCGACAGTAGTTATTACCACATGGTGTTACGGCAAACCGAAACAATACCAGTACTCCACCATGCAAAGTCTAACATCTTATATACAAAATAGTTTTAGCAGTACAGCATTTGACATTTGTCCCCAGGTTACAGGGTGTCACATGGGTGCTTTCATTGCTCAAAAGTATGGGGAATGCCAATTGTGGGGCTTCCATGGTCATCTGCTTCCTAGTGAAATAAAAGCCGAGTGTTTAGGTTCATGTATTGTCTTTTACACTATGTCTTGCAGGTCCTTGGTTTGTATGCATGGTAACATGTGAGCATTTTGGCATGTACACGCTGTATGGATTTATGCTGCGAGGAGAAATCATTGGAGAGACATTCTCCTATGTTATCTGTGCCCTGAATGTAAGTATGATCATGCAATGTTTGTGAACGACACATTACAGGACTCTGGCAATAGGTCATCTTACTGCCTTGGATGACTAGAAGATCAAGGTTGCCAGTGAGATAGGTAACCACATAGTTTGCTGGTCCGTGACAGGGCCAGACTATTGTCCTCTTTGTACCGCGTAGTCTCGATGTCACTTGTGATCCCTGGCAGTTCTATCGTATAGGATTACCCCGTAATGCCAATGAATGGCCTAAATCTGGCCCATTGTGAAAGGACTTCAAGTAAAAAGCCATTCTAAATCACTTTTATGGACTCTGGGACCGGCTTCACTAAGCTTGCCTTGTCTTGTTTCTGCAACGCCCACACATTTTTCATCACACATTTGTTGTTTGTGAAAACGTCCAGCATAATGAGGGTTGAAGAAAGAGATTGTGGTTTTTCACTGCAGCCACCGTGGCCTCTACTTCAAAACTTCTTTCCTTACATGCCATTTTTATTTCCACACCCAAGTATTGATGTGTTTCTTTTCCACCAGATGGCGTTGTTCCAGGGCCCTATCACATTGTATTTTGCACTGCAGTTGGACCGCATTCAGCAGCACTTACCCCATCAGAGCAGTAGTGTCTACTCTAAGTCTGCCAATGGCAAGAGTAAAGCAAAGAATGGCAATGCATCCAAACCACTACAGCACCATATACAACCTCTTGGGTTTGTGTGGTCACTGATAGCCTATCCCTGCCTGCTGTCTGCCATGCTATGGATGATCTGGGAATGCATCAATCTATATTACTGTTACGGTGCTGTGGCACTTCTATTTAGCCCCAAGTCAGCCTGGACTTTAGCAGTTGTCATATGGCTGCTGTACAGACTGCACTGGATTGAGCTTCGCCAGGCTAGCAAAGCAAATGGGTATAAGAGTTGATTAGGTCTGCAGGAATCCTGGAACCCTTGCAGCTTGAGACACTGTTTGCAGCTTTATTGATATGCTTGTTGAGCAAGTTTTTAAAAATGGATGATTTTGATAATGCTTTAGATAGTTTGCAATAAGCAAGCAGCATTACTGGGAGAGAACCTTTAATTTTGCTCTAGTTTTTCCATGTGATGGATATGTCAATTCTTCACATTTTTTTCACAAGATTGTGCTACATTCTACACGTCCAATTCTTTGTGAAAACAGTAATGAATTACAATGACAATCTCATCACAAGTTAGACATCAAAAGAGAATGGTTTTAGTTTGTACTTGTGCTATTTTTGTTTTTTTTTATATATGTACAAGGTAATGCATTATCAGTCTTTTTTATTTTAACATGGTCCAAGTTTTTCGAAACAAAACAAATTCATTGCGACTAAAGTCCCAGTTAAATGTGCCAATGACAGATTTGTAAAAGCAAGTTCTTTCTTCATTCATTGTAATTGAATGTGGGATCGGTTTTGAAAGTTCTGCTTACTAGTTAATCTTTTTACTGGAAAAATATATATTGCATGTTTACACGAATGCTATTTTACCTTTTTACAATATTTATAACAAAAGATGTTATTTTAATGGTCTGGATCCGAAGTGAAGGAAGATTTGTAGTTTTGGACTGGCATGTACAATGTATGTGACCATCTTGAACATGGTATCAAGCTATTACTGTTCTTTTCTGTCACTTGGAACTGGAGTAAGACAAAAGTCGGGTACTTCATCTGAGGAGCTTTTATCAAAATCAGGTTATTCAATGTTTAAGGTCAAAGTTGGTGTGATATTCTTGAGTGAAATTTACCAACTCAACATGAACCAGAACCAGAAATCTCATGTATTTTGGCATCGTCTGTGCTGTCAGAAGGTGATGAGGCCCAAGACAATAGTGTACTGCAATATAAGGGTGCCTAGTCAATGTAGCTCCTGGAGGTACATGTATTGTTCCAGGGGCAAAACCGAAGGAACTCATTTATCAACTTTGAATATTGAGGGAGCAAAAAGTTGCATAATAAATCAATCCAGTAGGCCACACCCACTGCGCATGTGGGCAACAAATGTGCGCCTCTCAATGCCACACTGCATGCATGTTCCAGGCACGCACATCATATGCAAAGTTTTGTGCACACATATCGGACTGTAATCATGGCTGGGATTGGTCGAAACACAATGGACAGAACTTGATAGATTGGTCTATTGTTTGGTAATTATGACTGCTGGTCCAAGATATTGTTCACTGCAAACGACTAGCACACGTGATGTACAATACTCGACTCATTTGTGCATTCATTTTGTACCTCGTGTGTGACATCTCAATGTACGTGCTGGTACATAGCAAAAATATTGATTAGCACATGATGATGAAGTGAATAGATAGAATTAGGCTCCTGCTAAAACATTTATGAGGCATAGTAAATGATATTGAAGAACATTGGCACTGAATAACAATCCAGGTAGGTAGAGTGGTGTTGGCAAGAGCCAGGAAGTTGGAAAAAACCTGCTGAACCACATACATGTATATAGAAAATGACTAAATTGATGTCTGAACATAGTGGAGTTGTCACATCTCTTATATGTGGCTGTGAAGATAAGTACATAAAGTCTTTCAACGGCAACCACAATTAGAAGCCATTGAGGTTGCACAAAGCTCACATTTACATCAATTGCATGCACTTTGCTGCTCTGTTGATCCAAAGTGCGATTACCGCTAGTTAAAATGCAAGCACACCTAATCTTGTTCCTTGAATTCGGTATTTCAACTGCGCTTTTGCACAATGATATGGGTCATAGGTCATTCATAATAAAATGTTTCGAAGGTGCATGAACGCCAGCGCATGACGCTTGCATGTAAATTACCAGCAGAATGGGTGTGCACGTTAACATCGCGTAATCCCAAATGACCCTATAACTCGGTCCTAATTTGCCTAACAAAAAAAATCCCATCTTAAGAATAAGAAACTTCCCCATAATGCGGTGCCGGCTGCCCACCCACTGCAGAAAGTGCAACTTATGTGTGAAAGTGGTACCGTCTCCTGGTTGTCAGTACCAACTGAATGTGTCTATGGCTGGCGGCAGTGATTTCTTGTATAATTTTTAGAATAATTTATATACATGTAGTCGGGAATAAAGGGAGGGGCTTTGACCTCAGTCATATAAAAAGAAATAAAGCTGTTTAGATGACTGACACAAGGTAGCAGATTTGTGGACTGTTTGGAAGTAAACATGACATCCATATATATTTTAACTGACAAAAAAGTAAGGAAGAAAACATTTTTTACAACACAAACTTGCATTAGGTTTGTGTTGTCAAGAAAAATGCATTACACATACGCATGTAATGGACCAATCAGGGATTAGGGGCAACTGCTGGCTGGCCATCTGTTTGATTTATGGGAATTACTTGCTAGTCATAGTTTGTATTAGTTTTGTTTGAACGATTGCCATGATTGTTTGACACGTCACTGTTGGTTTTGTCACAAGTGTAACGGTCAAAGTACTTGTGGTTTGAAAGAAATATAACGTTCTTTCTGCCTTGAATGGTGCTGATAGTTTTAGCAACCTTTATTGTCATTGTTAGGGACTTCAATATGAACAGCACTATGAATGTTTTATTTTTATTCCAATTAAAAAAATGGTTTTAAATAGCATACTGAAGTACTAATAACAACCTTATAGAGAGCTATTTAAGCTTTTTAAGTAATGCTATATTACTTGCATCAATATATACCTTCCAGGGTCAAGATTAGTGGAAAACAAAAAATTACACAAGATATTAAAAGCAGAGGGTCTATGGTATATGTTTGTATTTGCCTAAAGGCACCCTTAAACTACCCACTTCTTTTATTCAAGATAAACTTTTTATGGAAACCTCTGCAAATCCAGATTTCAAAAAGGATTCTTTAAAAAGTCTCAAATTGGAGAAAAATCCTGACAAAAATTCCTGAACCTGGAAAACTCCTGACAAATCTCACCCCTGACCTTCATGTGATTCAGAACAGTAGGTTATCACAGATTGAATCATTTGTTTCGTGAGGAACTTGATATTAGATTACAGATCATGTATTCTTTCAGTACAGGCTTTGATGTGTATACATGGACACTATCACAGCGAATCTTGCTAGCTTTGCTTAATTATCAAAGGGAGGTTGTAACAAAAAGAAAATATAAAAACGGAAACAAACCATAACAAAATTCATCTTTATAAAATAGCTTTCTGTGTAACTGTGTGATACAGTGTGAGTCCGAGTTTTAAGTGAATGAGTTTTAATAAAATAACATAGGAATAAAGTACATGTTATTGACTAATGACTCTGAAAATGTCACGTAGTTTGCGTCGTCCTGACGACAGGCAGAGTATACTGCCCGTAACGTTGAGTTTACCCTAGTTTTTTTCAGAACCTCACAAATGAGATTTGTTACATGGTGCGACTGTAAACTTTATCTTATTGTAATAAAACAGCCAAGGGTTTTATGAGTTTACTGCTTTACACTAAGTTTTAGTTAACGTTTGCATTAAAATGTTACCAGCAAGCATTAAAAAAATATGTTTGAAGTATTTACATTGCCGTTAACCAAAGCACAATATTGTGGAGAATAGAAACTACTTCTTAATCTTAGTGAATGGCAAATGACTAGTTAAATTTTTCAAACATTCAAGTTTAACTGCTGAACACTGACTGTTCTGTGATTGTAAACTCCCAATGACTCTACAATTGTTTGAAGGTGTGGATGTGATCACTAAAGGTGACTGTATAAATGGATTTCTGCTGGTTTGTGGTGTGGACGAGTGGATAGTGTCATATGCAAGAGCAATGCAAATGAGATTTATGTTTTATTTATGTGCATGTGTCAAATTGTATGAAGAATGACTAAATTTATTATTCTGCACTTGATTGTATCTATTACATTAATTATCTTCCAAATGCAATTAAAAGTTGTGTCTGTGACAAATTTCATTTGATTGACGTGGGCTTGTTCTTTAACCCCAACCCCCTAGAATGTGTGAAAAATCTTATTAACATTGGAGGATATAGGATTGCAACAGTTATAATAAAAAATAAAGTATGCGCGGGCTTCTAAAGATCAAATATTTGAGTAACCAATGAATCTTGTTCGAAATAAAAGTGGGGGCAGTGGGATATTGCAGCTATCCCACACCAGACTCCCAAACAAACTGACAGAAGAATGCATCAAACACAATCTTTGCATAACACTTCTGTATTGTCTAAAGATATATTATATCAAAGAATGACTTTCATGTATAATTTAACAGTTTGGAAGTTTAATAGTCTACATGGTCTCATGAGCAAATAAAAACATTCACAAATATTTGGGTCAGCTCTTTCATACTTATGTTGCATCCGATCAGATAGCACAATTGCACAGTGGATGGGATGTCCATGGCACCAAGGCACCAGACTATTAATCCAGAGGTTGCAGTTATGTACATGGAACTGTGGCTATGATATCGCCAAAGCAATGGTGCAAATATACCGATATTAAAATGGATCACGCATGAGGTATGCAGTAGACCACTGCTTGGACAAAAACTACAATACAAACTATGACTATAACAAATACATACCCTTTGGCTCCCAATAAGACTGATCCATTAAGGCCCGCCCCCATGATTCATTGACCAATCAATCACAGGCTTGGAACACCAAATGTCTGACAAATGATTGTGTTTGATTTAACATACCACTTGATTCATTTGCATCCCATGATGTTTGCTGTACTGTACTTCAGATGTAGTTTATTGCTTATAGAATAGATTGTGCTTTATTCGGTAAACCTACACTCCCTTCCCCCCCCCCCCAAAAAAAAAAACACCCCACAGACATTATCTTATGGTACATAAACAGCGGATGGCCTGAGCCACTCCTTGTGTGGTACACATGGTGTGCAACCTATAGCACATATGTCAGCAGCATGCTTTGCTTGCGTGATGAGTCACCAACTCTGTTTATCACTGTTGTAGAAGTACTTGTGCATGGAGTCTACATGTGTCACTGCCCTCATTTATAGTCAACCTTCTGTCGGGAAGAGCATCTACCTCTTTGGAGACGAAAGTGGAAATTATGAAGTTCAACGACAGAGAATTAACTGATCATGAAAAAAGATGCATGTCTTATTAGGTAATGAAAACCCTGTTTTCTTTGCCGGAGTTTTTCTTCCTCTTTTCAGATGCCTCATCTCCATATTACATCCTCGTTTCCTGACCCTCTATCAGCTATCAGCTCAGCTATCTGCACCAGTGACAAGCAAGTGGACATCCTTGTCTGAGGACAGCATGTGTCCGCAGCGATTGGACCCAACGACTGCAGCAAGTTTCTGCGCATCGTAGCGTGTATACAGGATGCTGCAGTTGTCCTCTGTGGTGCCATGCTGCGCTTGCAGTATGTTGCACAGCTCACTGTAGAACTGGGGATGGCTGGGAAGTTGATAGAAGATGAGATTGTGGATACCTTTGATCTTGTACCTGTAAAGACCAAAAAGAAGAAAACAATAGATTATTGCTTTTTGAAACAATTTGAAACTGCATCAGTGTTTAAGTGCTGGATTTACTGACGTCACCAAAACACAATGGTGTTACAAGAATACTACAGGGTTGGTTTTGCAACTAATGTTCTCATATCTCAGAGAATACATTTATTTGAAATTGATGAGTGACACACAGTGCAGCTACCCAAGTTATATCATGCATAAACTAAATGGGGAGATTACTACCTTCCATTTTTTAAAATTATAATTTGTTTTTGGTTGATGTACCCTCTGTAACAGGGCCTTAAAATCATGTTCATGATAATGCCATTTTGGTAAGCAATACCTTCTGAAGTAATGGAAGCGCTCTGTGTACAGCAAGATATTCCTGGATTGGTTGGCAATGTAGAGTCTGGCTCTGGAAATATTGGGCTGACTGGTGTACCTACACACAAAACAAATAAGTCAACAATATTCAACGATAAGATAAAACATATCAAAGGAAAATCTAGACAAAGCAACCAAGTAACTTAGTATATGGATTTATACAACACCTGAATAAATCCCCGTCATCTGATTGGTGAATTGTAGATCACGTGACATATTATTATTCGGTATAATGCACGGTGCGACCATGCGTTATACCCATGCGTTATACCGTTTCACTTTGTGCTTGTTCCATGACGCGGTATTTGCGTGCAAAATGCATGCTGGTGTGCGCGTTCAGCGTAGCGCGTATTGTTCCAAAGAGTCAGCGCTACAGCGTTGGGTTCAAACATTTTCGTGAAGGGGTAGTTCAACATCTTTAAAATCAAAATAAATTGTAGTTTACAATTTACCAATCAAATGACGAGAATTTATTCAGGTGTTGTATAAAACAAATAACGAATGTTTTACGTTCGTGCGATGGAAAGAATAATTTCATTCGGTGACAGATTGAATGTTCTATTCCACTCGGCTTCGCCTCGTGGAATAGAACGTTCAATCTGTCACCTCATGAAATTATTCTTACCATCGCACTCACAAACATTTTTATTTGTATAATAATAAATGGTCACTTTTCACCAAAGATCGTATAGCGCCGCTATGGGGAAATAGAAAGAAATTGTGAAATCGCCATGGACGCCATTCGAGCAAGCAAACCATCGTGCAAACCACTGTTTGCACGATGGTTTGCTTGCTCAAATGGCGTCCATGGCGATTTCACAATTTCTATGGAGTTCCCCATCTTGCACCTTCAGCACTATAAGATCTTTGCTTTTTACTAAACTCAAGTAAAAAAAAGTAGAAAATGCATTGCACTTTTCTCTTTTTAAGGGGGGAGGGGATTTCCACTCTTCACATTCTGTGAGAAGAATCAGCATCTTCACAACCGCTTTGCTACTTTGATCACAACCAATTAATAAAAATAAATCAGATCTTACTAATAATAAGGGGCATCTATTAAATCCCAATTTATCACTGGTGTTCATGATAACTGCTCATTAAAATGTAGATGGTGATTTTCACTTACTCGCAAATCTGTGCAAATTGAAGCTCCTGCTTGCGAAAGTAGTTACGAAGCCGGACAAAGTCAAAGTAGTTGGGGACAAAGATCATTGTGCCCACCATCATAGGGTCCCTGTACTGAGGAAGTACCTACATGAAGATATACGTCCAAAGACAGATCAGAATTCATTCTCTAATTCAACAGCTGCAAATCTGTAGTTTATGTAAATAGGTTTTACTACCAAAATTTGTTTTAACTTTTCGTTGGTGTGAAAACTTAAATATGCATTACACACTCGTACTTATACATTCAAATTACACAGCAGCTGTCCCACAAGAATAGGATATCACTTCACCACACAGAAACACTGCTGATACACTAGATCTAGTTTGATGTTGCGCAGAAAATGTAGCTTACAGGCAGAGATAGTATGCCGTGTATAGAGGGATAAAAAACGTAGGAATTCTGGGCAAAGTGTCACTGCTCAACCCTCCTACTGTTTGAACAGTCACAGACAGTCAAAAATGACATCCACTTCCCCTGCCATGCCTTTTACCCAGGCTAGTCACCAGTCAGATCATATTTCAAGCAAGCACTCTGACTAGTCACATTCAGTCAACAGGCAAAAGCAGACAACTGGTTAGCACAGCTGTCTTATCAATCACCTACAGTCAAAGCATAGCTGTTACATAAACTGTCACAGCCAGTCAATCCTGCTTTATGTAGGCTGGGAATTCCTAACTGTTGAAAACAGTCACTTGATTAATTTTGACTGAAAGAACAACTTGGCACAGAATGTATGTTTGCATAGGAGGGTTAATACCTCTATTAATATTACATGTTCTAGAGAACCAAATTAATCTCAAACATTTCCGTTCACCTTTGACAAGAAGAAGTCAAATCTCTTGTCCGACTCCTCCAAAAAACTTTGGCATTCTATCCGATGGAATACCTGCGAAACAATCAAATATCCCTTCATTATTCAGTAAAAACAAAATGCTGTATTAAAAATACTATGACACTTGACACCAGTTGGTCGCTCCCGCAAACACGTGTGCAGGGTAGCTACTTTTAATTCCCAGATGCGCTGGAACATCAACCAATGAATGAATCCTGTTGGCTCATAAATATGTACGAGGTGTAATAATGCATAAATTACACGTAGCAAGGGTTGTATGTCACTCAAAATGTAACTTCATGAAGTTCCATGCATATGAGCAGGCCTGAATTACACTATGTGTGCACATTAAAGGGGTAATATAATTCTGAAATGACCAACCTGAGGAAGCTGGGTGACTACCTGACATATGGAGCCTGTTACTGGAGGGTTATACACCATAGCCCTGCCAGCCAAATCTGGTCACAAATACTAAGGAAACTATTTGTCATCAAAAAATGAACTTATCTAATCTTGTTGAAATTGTTAATATTGCTATATTCCATTCAAAAGAAGCAGAAATTGTTTTGAGTTGGAAGCACTGCAAACATGAAAGAATAAAAACAAGAGTGATGACCCAATACCATTTGCTCAAACACACGAGCAATGGGAAGGTTCAAGAAAAGAAATTACTGTGTCCCACATTCCATGTCCAAAGGTTGATTTGTCCAGTTGCATTGCACATCATCTGTATACTCAGTTCCCGAGTCGCAAGATATGAGAATTGGAGGTTGATCAAGGTTTTGTCGTGCAAAGGACAGATTTGCAAGGCACAAAGCAAGTCAAATGAAAGGATACTAGCACACTGCTTGTTGAATAGCGAGTTGATCTCTGGAGAGACTATACTACTGAAGATCAATGTCTGCCGATAGTGCTTACTCCTGCAAAAGAACAAATAACAATTCCTGAGCTAGGAAATACAAAGGAGTCTTTTGAGTGACAATTAAACCATTCTAGAAAAAAAAAGGAATTGCTTTCTTTACTTTTGTATCTAGTAGTTAGTTCAACAGAAGAAACTATTCACTATTCATTGACAATTAACAGTCTGAAACTCTGGAGAAGTTACAGACTTCCAATCTGATTCTGGCTACACAAACTCCACTGACTTCTCAATCTCCATTGAATGTCAAATCTCAAAACCTCCCCCTGAGCACTGACTCTTCACAAGGGCAAATCTTGGGGCCAATGGGGCCATGGCCCTCCCCCCCCCAAAAAAAAAGTGTATTTAAAAAAAAAATCTTTAAGCAATTAAACCAGAAGAGGAGTGAAGACTGTTTTTAGATCAATGCTACTCATCCCCTTTCCTTCTAAGGATTTGTAAATTAATGCAAAGAAAGATAAGAAAAAGGGGGAAGAGTTCCCCCAGCATCAAGTGAGGTCCAGCGCCTCCCTCCCCCCCCCAAAAAAAATGGCTCTCGATCTACCCTTGACTACTTTACATCAACTAACCACTCACCATCCATTGAGTGTCCACTCTCTGAGTCTTGAAAAGTCCACACCATGTGAGTCTCTAGGCTGTAGATGCATGTAGTCCATCAGATGCTGCAATGGTAGTCCATAACACAATTCAGATTAATCAAGCTGGTCTACATTTCAATAAGTTTTCATTTGTAAGAATGCACTGTTTGGAGGGAGTTTGTGAAAGTAAGACGAGGTTCAATACAACCCAAAATTACAGAAACATCCTGTGTTTTTGCTTGTTGACCACTGGGATGAATTCTTGCACTTTTTTAAAAGAGAATTTCTCATCAACAACTGAAGAGAAGACCAAGAAATGTCTTATCTCATCTTACAATAGCAAGCATACCGTGATATGTTCCCAGTTCTGCATGAGAAAGACGTCAGCCTGGTCCATGACTAGCAGTTCAATGGAAGACAGGAAGTCATAGTCTTGATGCTTCTCCCTGCCAATTATTAAGAATATAAGACATAAGGATGGACTACATGCTGCAGATAAACCAAATGCACAATGAAAAATGGGTAAAACTGTCTTACATATTTATGAATATACAGTCAGTTACCAGTCAGTTAGCTTATTTGACATTTTTCAATAATTGAATGGTTGTAGTGTTCTCCCTTGTCTATGGAATAGACAAACGTCTATGATACGCAGGCAAAACAACACTACATCTTGACTATTCAGCGGGCGCCTGGCTATCGTGTCTTCGGTAACCGGATGTTGTTTGACAAAAACATGGCAGCTATTGACCAATCAAGAGCTTTGGCAAAATTTCTACTCTAAATGACATTACAACTTCTAAAGGCGGCTCCTATTGGCTGGTGTGTGGGGTTGCATAATATTGACATGCATGGACATATCAGGCATTCGTAATGTGGCTCTACACATGTGGACGTCTGATCCTCAGGCTATAGAATAGAAAATACTGACATTCCTTAGGGACCGTGACCATTCAGCCCTGGTATGAAAAGGGCCCCCCGGTACCTCGTCTGGTCCAGAGCCAGTCCGGTCTTCAGCCCAGTCTCGTCCGGTACATGGTCCTGTCTGACCAGAAGTTTTGAAGTCAGTCAAGCGCATCAATTTATTGCCCTTCAGAGAACGTCCAGAGCAGAACAATAGCAGATTTACCGGATTAAAGATAAAATCCTTCCAAACGCCTTTTTAATTTACGGTCCCATTGTGCGCGAAACCGCATGGCAGGGGTTTTGATCTGTGCCGACGAAAGTGTTCTATTGTTTCGCGCTGAGAGATGAAAACCACAAGCAGGTTTCTTCTGGGATATACATGTGTCAATACTTGCAAACAATAGACCCCAGGATAGAGGAGTTCCTGATTAGCAACCGGACCAGCTCCTGGGCCGGTAGCTGGGATGGTACGAGAGGACTTCTTGGAAGGGGACGAGCTTACCGGGGGGCCCTTTTCATACCGGGGCTGAATGGTCACGGTCCCTTATTTTGGTACGTCAAGTTTAAAACCTTTTTTGAGGAAAGTGTATTTAAATAGTTGACTAACTTATAAAAACAGTAAATCAGCATAGGAAAGTAGAAATGTGTTGAGTTTTGTAACATCTTAAAGCTGATGATTTAATCCTTTATTCATAAATACCTCAGACAGTTTGCCTATTCCCATTGGTCGAGAGACCGTCACATGGCCGGTCTTAAACGGATGATAAAGACATGGCTGGCTGGTCTTAAACACTTTTCCAGTGTCACATGAAATTTGGACTCCTATGAAATCCAGTGCATTTTAACGTTTTATTGGTTGAACGTTCACAATCCTCACAAAGGCATGCGCAATACTACCAGTGAGTCAGTGTTTCATAGTCCTAAATTCACAACGCACCGCCACAGCTGCGTTCTGTGTAACATTGTGCAGTACGCCCGACGCACGCCCAATCTCCATAAAAGGAGTTGTATACTCGCGAGCTGGACACTCCATTATATAGCTAGAAGGGTGTTTCGAAAAACATGAAGTGAAATTGTTGAACAAAATCGTTTGAAATGTACAATTTTTTACTTGTTTTGACTTTTGGACCGAAAAGGTTTGATTTTTGGACCGAAAAGGTATGAATGGGAATAAATATGTGCTTGGTCGATATTACACGCTATGTTTATTAAAGGCGTTGGAGTCTGGATGCTGATAATTACCCTCGCCGAAATATCAGTATCCAGACTCCAACTGGTCTTAAACAGAGTGTTTAAAACCTCCTAAGCACACATTTATTCCCTGGAAAAAGAACTTTTCAAGCGTACAGCCAGTTGGTGATGGTCATATATTGTAAACAATCCAAAGCTTACCCCTTGGTTCCAATGAGTGTTCTCAGGCCTAGCGGGGATGCAATGATGATGTCTGACATGTAGAAGTCAGTGTATAGCTGCAGTCTCTTACGTGTGATCGCTAGCCCTATCCTAAAGTGATCATCAATGTTGCCGGCAAAGGTGGATTCCCAGTCCTCTGTGCATTGGTAATGGACAAATATTCATGGACGTAGTTGAGAAAATTCTGATGAAACTACACATTTGAGGTTTGCTCAGAATTAACAAGTCAACCACAGTTTCATACTTGTTTCAATAATAGTTTCACTTACATGAAAACAATTGCTTCAAATTGTAACTTTACATTTCTACAGTTGTTTTTGTTTCAATAATAATATTCAATATTTGTGAAGATTCCATCAAGTTTACTTGGTTAATCCTTCTTTGATTCTTGTAAGCAGGCCACACAGTACCGTTTATAGATCTTACACAGGTCCCCACTAATGATGCATCAGTGCAACAGATCCTAAGGCATGCAAGTAAAGATGTGGACTTTTCAAAATATTGAAATATTCAACCTTGCAGACTTTTCAGTATTGTATTTTCTCCATTTCCCCAATACAGTCTTTTGTTCTGCCTAACGTTTTTTTTTCTGGCCTAGTAATGAAAGCACTGTTCAATAAATGGGAGGTTTGCGGTAACACCATGTGAATGATATCTCTTAGAAAGTTGTGTGGTTCTGAGAAGAACCAATTTCTTTAACGCGACATTTCGAACAGTATGCTCTGCTCGTCGTCAGGAGACTGCCGGACTCTTGTTGGTGTAGTGGTTTAAGTAGCATGCTAAATTCAGTGGACCGTTAAGGCGGGCAATTCTGGTACAGGACACCAAGATGCTGGGTAGGATGCTGAAGCACTGTTCTTTGGATATCACCTTCTACCACTGACATTTAATATATCATCAAGGATTTCCAGGAAGAAACATGTTTAGTGTGAGGGATAGGAAATTTGTGTCTTTGTGATTACTATTGCCATATGGAAGATAGAATGCTACTAAGTACCTGGCATTGGGTGTTTGCTGGGTGGGTGTGGCTCTACTGCTCCATACTCATCATTGAAACGTTTCCTCCGACCGACATTCTGACTGTCAGCTGCCAGTAACAGCTTGATGAATGTATTGATGATACGTAGAGCCCCATCACGGAATGGAACAACAATTAGAATACGTGGTCGTGTAAGGCCTTGATCTCTCATAGTCCTTACAAAAAAAGAGAGAGAATATTAAACAATACTCATAAACACCTGGGTCAGTTTACCTATTTGTATTGGCCGAGAGCTTGTTACGTGGGTGGTTTTTTAAACCGCTGTTTAAACACCACTCTTTGTTTCAACAGAAAAGCTGTCGTGAGACCCTGCACTCTGAGACACATGCGATATGACCCCCAAGATGTTGAGCACAACGAGCGTGCCACGTGGAGTAAACTGGTAGCACAACCCCTAACCCTGATCAGAGTCTGTGGCCACCAACTGCAGCAGGATACAACTGTGGCAGAGGACAGTTTGGCCTTGAGATTTTTGACCTGATGGATCTTGCTACACTGGGAAAGCTTGTCATTTTGTCAAGTGTTGCATGTTGCTGCATTCAGCAGGGTTTGTAGCCAAAATACCCTAGGGGTTAGGGCTAATTAGTTAGTCAACTGTTCAAGTTTTCATAGTTTTTAACTGAACAGGTAAATATGAATAGGGATAACAGTATGATGAGGCAAACATGATACTGAAATCTGGTTAGGGGCCTGGTCTCTGATAACTCTGCTGGATCATTATCGGTAACCAGGCCCCTTGGCAGTTTTAAATCATACGTTCATAAACTGTTCCATCGCACTATTATCCCCTTAATTTATTGCATAAGGATCCTTAGTCAAATTGGATCCACTATCCAGCTTAGGCCAAAAAAAAGAATAGTTCTGCTTCCGGTTACCCGACCGACCCTATTTTGAGGCTGTGACCCTAAAAAATTTATCGGCAATTAAAAAAAAAAAAAAAAAAAAAAATTGAATAAATAATTATAAAATTTTGTTGTCTTTTCTGTCTTCACAAAATACCTCTCAACAACCCTTTTGCATAAAAAAAATGCTTGTATTTATTTGTTTTCTTACTTACATTCGCTTTTTTTCAAAAGAAACCTCCGTTATTTTTACAAATTCGCTTCGCGATATAGCTACTTCGCAATGCGATGTCACGGCGACTATAATCACGTGGCGACGACTGGTTCCCGCCTCGCCGCGCAGGGGCCAATTTCGAAGACATGATGAAAATGCGGTATTCAGTCCATAGCTATGCGACCGATAGCACGCTAGCAGTGCAGGCCACTGTCAACTGGTCGGATTTGACATCGTAAAAATGCCAAGAAAACACCGATGGAGAAAGAACATTTTTGCAAGTTAATTTACAGAATTGATCTAGCTTGTCTGTGTATGTATTTTCTGTGTTCAAGAGTTCATTTTGAGATCGCACTACTCGTATTTGGAGTGATACACGCCGCGTGTTTCCCAAAATTTTTGACCTTAAAAACAGGTCTGTCAGCCCATGGTGGGCCGCTAGCCACACACGCACGCATCACACACCTCGGAGTTTTGGCCAGCTCCCCGCGTCTTGACTAGCGTTGTGCATATGGTGCGAACGACCTGAATTTTCCATTATTTTCCGAAATTATCGAACGTAAATATATTTACAATAATTAAAGGTACTTTTTTATTCACTCTTTGTTGCCATTTCGTGTATAACTTTCGTAGTGCAATGGAAATAGTTCAGGCTAAAAACTTCGCATATAATTGAATACCCCATTAAATCTGCATAAAAAAAAATGGCCAAAAAAAAAAATTTCGGACCGACCGACCCTTTTTTTGAAAGGCATGTAATCGGAAGCAGAACTATTTTTTTTTTGGCCTTATCTATGATCTCCGTAGTCCTGATCATCTGGTGCTTAACAGAAGCCATTCACCTATGTGGGTTATGAGTCCAGGGGTCACAACAACAATTGAGAGGCAAGCAATCTGAGCAAAGCTGTAAACCTATACCGGGGCATCACTCAGAGAAGATACAGATTCTTGCTACAAATCAATGAATAAACCACAAAGGGAAATTGACTTGATGTTATGAGTTTGCACAATGAAAATGACTGGTAGGGGATTTGAAACTGCAACAGAAGGGAAACTGATAAACTACAACAACTTTATCAAAATAAATAAACATGGAGCAACATTTACCCTAACTCCCTAGTGTCTGTTACTAAGTATTACTATACCTCATACATATTCATGATCGAGAGCCGAACGTTCACTGGTCAATTCACCATCACGTGCCAGATGTTATTCTTGCTGTTTACCAAACGCGTGCGCGAGGATTCACGCACATTGTAAATACGCATGCGTAGTAGACTGTCGCATGGGTTACCCGTGCGACAGTCTACTACGCATGCGCTTTACAGAGCAATCGAGGAACTGTCGCACGGGTGCAGTACGCACGCACGAACATCGCACAGGAGAGATGCATGGTTGCACGGTTCGCGTAAATGTTAATTTACAGAGCTCAATGATGCCGTACTGGAGAAAATGTATAGACCGTGTAAAGATGTCTCCTGTACAAAAGAAAGTTGTACACATTGCAAACAACTGTATTTACAACTGTAGTAACTGTATTATATTGCAAACGAACCGAACTAGTAATTGAAGTTGAATCTTTTGGTGAGCTGTACAAGTTTCCCCAAATTTTGTTTTAGGTGCATAATAATAAAACAAAATTCGGCAACTGAATATGTATGAGGTATAGTAAAACAAATATAACATGGTTTATTTCGGGTGGACAGTCGATATTAGCTCCCCTCGGTATTGGAAGTTGACAAACTAGTTCCCTCGGCTTCGCCTCGGGAACTAGTTTGTCAACTTCCAATACCTCGGGGAGCGAATATCGACTGTCCACCCTCAAACCATGTTATATTTGTATACTGGACCAAGTCCGCCAAAATCCATCACTGACCCTGCTTCATATAATGCTTCAGGACCAAATCCGCTGAAATCCACCACAAGACCACCACCACTATAGGTGGATTTTGATGGACTTGGTACTCATGGCTTGCCTACCATAATCCCCAATATGGGGAATGGATTTGGATGGATTTGGGAAGGTTAGGGTTAATAAAAATGAAACTGAATGGCTGTCGATCATAAGACCAGACTTACTCAGTGTCAAGAGTAGGATCTTTGGACAGCATAGTGTTGTGCTTTAACACAATCTCTCTTGACCTAATAAAAAAACAAAGAATATTGTCAACATATTGGAGCAAAACAGGTGTTAAGGACAAGGAAGAAGTGATAACATAAAATGGAAACATATGTGTACACCCATAAATATCGCAATTTAGTTCTTAGATATCGCAATTTAGTTCTTAGATCAATCTCCACTTCTTACCCCTTTCTGCTATTCAGGTCTTAAAATTCCGAGACTTTTCTTACTTGACAATGTGGTTGAGTAAATGCAGACAGTAGACATGGCGTATCTCCTCAGCATTCTTGTGTGTTCTCTCTGTGTGCAGCAAGTCCTGCACAAAAAATATTGGACTGAACTTCACAAAACTGACCGTATTTTTTTAAAAACTAATCACTTCAAATTTTTACGATTGGTCTGAGACAATCTAAACTGTGCCCAGATGCCCACAATGTGTCTTGAGGAAAATCCTGTAATATGTTAATGGGATTAAACACATTTCTCCATGCTATGAATAAGTACATGTACTGTATATGCACAGTACATTCACTGTTAATTTTGGTGATGAGATTTACATTTATTTTCAAATTAAGTTTTCGTTTGACTAAAATCTCTTCAGAAATTTAACCCGTTAGTCACTGAAGTGCCCCAAACCACCATGCCTATTATTCCCTGTACCCAAAACAGCCTGAGCATTCTATGGTTTAATTGATTCTTCAGGGAATAAGTACAATGTAATACAATGTAATACAATTGTAAATGGTTGACAATTTAATTGATGGTATTAAAAATGTGTATTTCTCAAAAGAAGACGTACTTGCTTTCAAATCACCCTCTCTGTATCAATAACAAGTTTGCTTTTATTAAACAAAAACAGAAATTGTTACTTCACATTTTGTTGCCAGGCTGAGGACTAGGTTTTTGGCCTACCTGGTATGAGTTCATGATTGTAAAGAGCTCTAGTTGAAGAGGAGTGAAGATATCATGAGATCCTGGCTGCATAAACTGCTTGTTGTTAGCTTCCCACTGGCCAGATATCCTCTTCTTGACCTGAGTGCAATTCAAAAGAGACTGTTTAAAGGCATGTAAGAACGGTAATAGCCCAGAAAAACCTTGCTCAAAGCAAAGATAGGATTGGTCCCAAACACCCTGTGATACTATCCTGCCAGAAATGCTTTCCATGAAAAGATACAGTCATTGAAGGTGGTTTTAAAAACATGTGCCATCAGGCAAAATTTTTTACGCGCATTTGCACAGAATCAAGTGCAAAAAATATACAAAAAGTTTGGATATGACAAGAAACGCAATAAATGGGGCCACTTATCTACCGTCACGTTAGCAGTTTTGCCAATGGTTGTAATTTTTTGTTAAATATCTGTAACCACCAAAGAAGAATTTCAACACAAAGATGATTTGAGTTGATTATTTATATTGCTTTTTGACATTATCCTCAAATATTCATCAAAAAGTGGACGGAAAACTTAGTCAACTTTTTCCATCCATATTTGATGGAAATTTGAGGGTGATTCTAAAAATTAAAAAATAAAGAAAGACATGATTCAACACATATTACATGTATTATAAGACTATGTGTAGCCCGTGCGGTACGCTGAAGTGCGCCCTCAAGCGGTTATGAGACACGCGTGTACTGTAACCATGGCAGGCGCCATGTTCGCACATGTTTTGGCGAAATTCCCGCAGTGAAATGCCAAGATTCTTGCTAAAAGTCAACTGTTAGTTTGACATTGATTGAAAATCCTACAGCTTGTGGCTCTCAGGTGAGAATAAGTGAAGGATAATGGGATGATTATAACATTTGGGGTGATTTTTGATGATAAGTTGCGTTGATAATTGGTGTTGAAATTAACGTTACAGAAACAAATGTGAATTGTATAAATCAGGAGCCAGTTTGAATGCATCTAGAAGAAATAATTGATCTTGTGACCAATATACCTTTCCGTAAGGCCAAAAAAAAAAAGTCTCCGGTTTCTGGTATGCGCGCGCGTCGCCGTAGCCATGCGCGTCGGCAAAATGAAAAAGGTTTTTTTTCAATGAAAGATGATGTCTCAAAACCGCCAAACTCACTGGTTTGACTGGAATCCTGCTGCTGCACAATTTCAACGTGTTTTTAGATGGGGTTATGATCGAGAATAAGCTTTATGTGGCCTCTCTGGACTCCCATATATTTGCACTAAATTTAGTCAGGCACCATTTGCAGTCATCAGCCGACATTTGAAGCAAAAAAGTCAGGTAAAAAAAAAAAAAAAAGCCGCGTCGCCGCACCACTTTTTGGACAAGCTCCATACCAGAAACTGGAGACTTTTTTTTTTTGGCCTAATGAAACCTCACATACTGGGATGATTCAAATTAAGTGACATGTTGAGTTGTGTTAAAAATTGAACAAGTTTAAAGTGTATTGATGCTAGAAGTTGGGTGGATTATTTGATCTACCGTCTGCTTTGACCCCCTAAATTGCTTTGTGTAGAGACACAAGCCTTTTGTTAAGGTACATATTTTGCTTTTCTTTTACTCTCAGCTGTACCCTGATATTTTGGGGATTAACTTGATCTGTATTTTGCTGCCGTTGGTAATCTTACACATGTTACATCTTCACAAGGAGGACAGGAATTACATGTATTCCATGTACATGTATTCTATCTACATCAGGTGAAACACCGTAACAGATTTACCGTGATATGTATTGGGATTAACTTGGAACTTTATTTTTGCTTTATTTTTTACTGGCCACGTGTGAGCTTACACATGTTACATCTTCACAAGGACAGGAATTACATGTATGCTGTCTGCATAAGGTGAACTACCGTAACAGGAGCATCCCTCACATCAGTCTATCTCCAAGCAGGAGGGATTTTCTGAAGGAACCGTTTACTGTGTAACGTATACAGTGACGTTGAACTTCCGTGGTTTCGCCGGAACTCCACGAAGTGAAGTGAACTGAACTGACTAGTCAATCAACATTTTTGGATTGGGACTTGATTGCCTTAGAGTGACATCAAGAGTCTCAAATATCCTTGTTTGAATATATTTAGGGCCCTAATATTGTATGTATACAGGTATTTTGTTTTTTTGTCAGAAAGATAAATGGTTGTTTATTTCATAAAGTGTCATTGTTGACCTAAACATTTACATGTAGGCCTACTTAAAAAAAATTCTTGATTATCATCATCAGCGCTGGTGTTATGGATTTTGATCTAGAGTTCCGTCCGAGTTTTCAAATTAAAGGTTTTCTAGTTCAGTATAATTTATAGACTAAGTAGTGGTTTGTTCATTTGTCTGACCCAAGGTGTGTTGACCCCAATGTGGTCCATGTGGCTTACATACATGTCCATTCACATTTCAAAAACTTTTTGGGTTGTTTCAGGTATTGTAAAATAAATTAGAACCATTGGAAAAACTGCTAACATGACTGATGCAAAGTGGTCCCCTTTATTGTGTTTCTTGTCATATGCCTTTTGTTTTCTCAAAATATATAGCAGCCACTGAGCTTCAAAAGGTTCTTTGTTATGCACCCTATTTAACATTTTGAGCAATTTAACTCTTTCAATGCCAAAGCTGTACATTATGAGGTATATTTGTTAGTTCGAAATCGCCAACCTCCTACATGTACTAGGTAATGTTCGTACTTAAAATTGCCAAACCTCGTTCATGTACGAGGTAGAGTAAGCATGTTATCACAAGGGGGCGCTCTCGCTCTTTCCAATAATATCATTTTCATTCAGGTACGACCTGTATCTATTTGTTTAATTCGAGTTCACTCGTATTTTCTGCAAAAAGTGCGGAATTCCCCTGAGTGCAGGACAGTGTTTCAGGGTATATCACTATGTATGTGACTACTATTGACTTTCCAATATACCAAGGATATACCAGAGAGCAACAACAACAAATTTAGTGAGTAAAACTTATTTACCTGATTTTTTTACAAATTTTGAACAATTATTCATAAATACCTCAGACAGTTTAGCCATTCCTATTGGTCGAGAGCCCGTCACGTGGCCGGTATTAAACGGATGATAAAGACATGGCTAGCTGGTCTTAAACACTTTTCCAGTGTCACAATAAAATGTGGACTCCTAAAAATCCAGTGCCTCTTATCGTTTCATTGGTTGAACGTTCACAATCCTCACGTAGGCATGCGCAACACTACCAGGGAGTTAGAATTTTATAGTTCTAAATTCAAAACGCAACGCGCCAGGTGCGTTCTGCGCGACATCGCATAGAACATGATACGCGCGCGTCAATCTCCATAAAAGGGTTGTTTTCATCTTACTCGCCAGCTGAACACTCCATTATTTTGCAGGAGGGATGATTCAAAAAGCATAAAGTGAATTTGTTGAACAAAATCGGGATGTTTTGAACGTATTATATGATTTTTTTTTACCGAAAAGGTATTTATGAATGGGAATAAATATGTACTCCGTCGGTATTTATCACTCTGTTTAATACCACTTAGAGTCTGGGTGCTGATAATTACCCTCGCCTCCGGCTCGGGTAATTATCAGCACCCAGACTCTAAGTGGTATTAAACAGAGTGATAAAAACCTCCGGAGCACACATTTATTCCCTTAACAAAAACGCTCGAAGTTGGGCACTTTAGGGTTAAACTTTTCAAATTTCGCGGGCACTGAAAGAGTTAAACAAATGGCTAAAATTCAATAAAATTCAGTATTCAAAGATTTCAGTCACTGCATGAATGTGACCATATAACTGACCAACAAATGGACTTTCACAACTTATCATAAAGACAAACTCCAGATGGAAACGACATGGCATGAATAAGGATAAGCAACTTACATTAAGGTCTTTGAAGGTAACATTATCAGGGATTTTCAGGTTGCCTGGCTTTTTAGCCGACATGGAGGAAAAGACAACTCTACCCAAGGCATTCCACTGAAATGAATATAAATAAACAGAAAGAAAAAAGCAATTTACATGTAGTCAACACCAAATAGCCAAAAACACAGAAATGACATAGATTTTGTTCACAAGAACATTTTCTGAAAGTGAGTACTCTGTCGGCCTATTGATTTACATGACTGAAAACTAGGAAACATTTCAAATTTTTAAGGACCTTAGATTGATTTTGTTGCTTCAGTTTTTGTCCATAGAAACACTAAAGACACTGATAGAAAAAAAGGGTGTTTTCAATTTGTTTTAAGATTCCTCCTATGTATTTTGATATTATTCACAATTATGCATTTTGAGATAACTGTTCACAAAGCAATCAATGCAAACTTTACCTTTGCCTGTAGTTTGTGTGTTACTTCACCCTTAGCCAACTGACTGGCAGTCACTTCACCAATGTCATGTGTCATCCTCCTGTAGAAGGGATCTATCCAAAATGGACATACATGTAGGTATTGTAATTTCAGTGTTAATATTGTCTACTGAAGTACGGCAAACTGGCCCATAAAACTGTACTACTTTTGGGTCCTCAATGGCTGATCAAAGGGAGTGCTATGTGACAATGCCGCCTACATTTGTATCATTCAAGAGAGAGTATTGCATGCTTTCACTTCTTAACCCTAACCCCCTAGACCCTTTTGGCTAGGAACCATCCTCAAAACCTGCAAAATCCTCCAATTGCCACTATGTAAAAATTGGATTCAGCCTCATATCCTTGAATTTGTTCAGTAGAGGAGTGACCATTGCCTCAATCCTTCAAAGTCCTCCAACTATCACTGTTAATGGGTTGAGGCAGTACCGATGACATTCAGAAGCAGTGCGGGCGAAATCGAGCGTAATGCAGGGCTCAATTATGCATGACCGAACATTAACAATGCTGGGTACAGCCTACGAACTCGACACAATGGGTCCGCCAAAATCAACCGACACCTTTTTGCCATTCAACCTCAATCCTCCAAAATCTTCCAAAACCACCTGGAGGATGTTGGAGGATTGAGGAGGGTTAGGGTGCAAGGGTTCCAAGGGTTCCCGATGAGTTAAATTAAAAAATTCCTCCGGAATATTGTAATATGTTGGTCATTATAATGGAAAAATCTCATTCATAAGACGGAATTTTTTGCATCGGGGCGATGTAAATCAAATTAGGTTTTTGCCCTTCACCGACGTATAAACACTGTATACTCAGTGTGTTACCTCCCGAGTGAAAGTTGGAAAAAATCACTCGGGTGGGACTCGAACCCTCGCCTCCTGCTTTCTAGTGCAGATGTCTTACCACTCGACCACCGAGCTAGCGGGATCGGTTGGCTGGTTCGAATCTGATGTACATAGCAGCGGGTACCGCGTTACATCTTACTATTCATAAGATGGAATTTTGCGTCGGGGTGATGTAAATCAAATTAGGTTTTGCCCTTCACCGACATATAAACATCTCACTAGATTTTTGAAAGATCTGTCCATCTCAAGTCAAATCATAAGTAAGGTCACAAGTAACAGGAGAAGAAGACTGATAAAGGAGTGCCTTGTCATAATTCATTTCAATAGCTTGTGACTTTACTGGAGACTGAAGAACTTGTAACTGACTGGTGAGTGGCGACATTGACTTGTGATTGATTTGTGAGTGTTTGTGAGTGTTTAACCCACAACTTGCCAGTCTGTGGGACCTTGCTGCATTGAGCCATCAACATCAGTGCATAAACCAATTCTGAGACAATGAGAGCTAGTCCCTGCTGCAGTTGCTGACCACAGACTCTGAGGCAATTTGGCCTTGAGACTTCTGACCTGATGAATCTTGCTACACTGAGCAGGCTTGTCGTTTTGACAAGTGTCGCATGTTGTTGCATTGGGCAGAGTTTCTAGTCAAAAAAGCCTCGAGGGTTTAGGGTTAATCCTGATGTGAGACTGATTCAATCATACCTCTCAACTGACTCTTTGTTTCATCATCATCTTCTGTGGCTTCATCATTAATGTCATCATCTTCATCATCATTAATGTCATCATCTTCATCATCATCAATGTCCTCTTCAGTATCTTCATCTTGCTGTATCTCTTCACCTGCATTCTCTGTGAATTGACCAGATTCTGTCTCATCTGAGGGGGTATTGTTTTATCAAAAGCATGTCACAAAATACAACACTCATACAGTATAACAACACCAATTTGAGGGATAAGTGAAGGTCATGATGTAAATCATAGATTTCAGATATAACAGGGACAGGAAAAAGTTGACTTGACCCCAAATTTATAGAATGACCCATATATGTAGAAAAGTAAGACTAGCCATGTTAATATATACAATTTGATTCAACGTTGCAAATATATCCAATTTGTTTATATTTTTCTTGTTCAATGTCATTGTTTAAACATGGCAGGAAGGGAACCAGCGCACTGTATGCACTCGTATGGACACACTGTTCCCCGACTGGTAGTTCATTGGATCAACAAAGGCATCAAAGACAGACAGAGCTATACGTGACCCACTGCAGAGCACTGTGGGAATTCCCTTGTATCTCGTTGAGTGATTGGTGTCACAGTCAACCTCAGTCAGATATAGAGCATGCGGTATCCTTTAAATCTACGCTAAATGAAAACTCTGCATATGTTACTTTGTAGAACATTTTTGTTTCAAAGCATTGTTTTTAGTATTTATTAATCAGTGTTAGTTGAAATATGGATGTTGGGCAGTCTTTCCAGTGCGAATAACAATTGATATAACTATTTGACCTTAGACCATGACAGTCTCAACTTCACAACAGCCCCCTCCCCCGCTTTTCAATTTCCCAAGCCAAGACACGCCTTGCACTTTTGAAATCACAGATCAGACACTGAACTTACCTTCATCTTCATGGCCATCCTCAGCTCCTTCAGTCCACTCCTCTACTCCCTCATCATCTTCATCATCATCTTCTCCACTTTCTTCATCCTCCTCCTCATCATCTTCATCATATATAACATAAAACATACACAATGATAATGGGGAAGCATCTAGAATTTGGACAAATGAAGTCTTCAAGGGAGGAACAAGAGTCAGATTTTTCAGTCGCAGTAGGATAGTATCAAATTGCATTACAAATTAAAAATGTTGGGCTGATACCCAGCAAGCATTCATCATCAAAAAGAACCGAAGAGATTTTATGGTAGACCTGAGAAAAGAATGTGTTGAATATTAAAGTACCTGAGTACTGTCCCTCTTTGGTTGTACCTAATGTCGTCAGAAGCTGCTCATATGCTGACGGCTCCTGCTCAACGCTACTGTCTGAACTATAATCCTCCTGGTATAACAAGATAAAAAAGGTATTCAGAGCTCAATCTCTCTCAGTCTCACAGGGAAAGATATCTTTCTTTTGAGACAGGTGTTCATACCATCTCAGGTTTCAGGGTATGAACTCCTGTTCAACACAAAATAAAACAATACACCATTTCCTTTGAGATTTTTGGCTCAAACTTTTCCCAACCCACACAAAACGATTTATGGCTGTCTTACATGTACATGTATAAGGTGTTTTCCATCAACCATTAATGTAGCCTAGGGCAGGTGCTATTCCCCTACAAAATGGATGATAGTTTCTATAACTAGGAAAGGCAAAGTGCTACGGGTAGGTCTTAATGTAGGCCAGACTCAGTCTTGAAAGAGAGAGTACCTTGTCAAAGCATAGCTGTATCGAGTTACACAATGAAGTAGTCTTGAAAAGACGGTATGATACCAAATCCCAAGATTGAAATGTTGCAAACTTGATAACACCCTACAACTGCTGTATACAATCTACTGCGTCACAGTCAATCCGTGTAGCCACTCTGGGGAAACACTGTTACAAATTTATGCCCTTGGAGAATTTTTAAAGGGAAAATAGAACCCTCTTTTTGCCCTGTCCAACTCACTCCCGTCGCCGAGTAGCCAGTATGGGGGGAACACATTGGACTTTTTTTCTTCCTTCCAATTCAGTTTACTCCGGCAACAGAATTATCACATGGGGCTTAATACAAACCAAGTGAACGGATACAGTTAGCATGACGGATAGGTCATCAGTTTGTGTGGTCTTATGACGTCATACACAACTCACTAGGGACCACTAGAAATGGTACGTCTATGGGAGACGTATGCGGCTCGGAACAGTCACCTATTGAATCACCATTTTGCCTTATTTCTTCAGTCACTCTCCCGGCAATGCACAATTTACATCAAAATATGGCAATGTATTGTGTAAGTCTGGTGAAATGATGACCCAAAACAGTGATTTAATAGGTCACTTTTTCCGAGCTGGCTGCATACATATCCCGTACGCGTACAATTTAGAATGGTCCCTACTATCCGCTACGCATGTACACAGTACGAATATATCACGCTCTAGCAGTGTGAAGCGCTAAGTAAATTGTCGATTTTCACCCTGTTTTCTGATAATGATAAGTTATTTTGTCATTTGGCTGTGTTTGATAGCAGACTCAGTCACAGTTACGAGGCTACCATTTTGGATTACTGCTCGGTTCCAACAACTAAGCGTATGTGTAAGTGTACATGTACACTTTGCAAAAACAACAAAATGGTCATAACAGTTACGGAGAGATAAATGTACGTGTACACGTATCCATTCAGTTGCGAAAGCTCTCTAATATTTTTTATAGAAAACATATATAGTAGGAGACAGAAGTTGATATACCTCTGGAATGTTGTTTGCAGTCAAATTGGCGGCCCCAGACTGTAATCCTCGGTGTGTTCTACAGTTGATATAAAAAGAGAGAATCACAAACAACCAGTACAATACATGAGTAGTTTATCATCCTGATCAAAGAATCTAATGGCAGAAATATTTTAACCACATGAAGAAAGTAACTGGTGATGTTGAAAACTTCCAGGGATGGCATGTCAAAAGAGCAAGGTTTTGACTATTGAGGGAAATATGGCATAAAAAGAAGGTGACACTGACAAAACGCAACACAAAAATGCTGCACAAAACCATGTTGTTTTGTATGGCAACAAATCCCTTAAGCCTTAAGGTTGAAGAAATCATATTGGAGCAATAAAAAATACAAACTGAAAAAGGACACAATTACCAGTAAGTCAAGGATGAAGAGGTAGTTCAGTGCAGTGGCTTGGCGCTAACGGGAGTGCAGGTAATTCGTCTATATCAACACTGGAATTAAAATTTCATAGCGTGCAGCCGACCCAACAAATGATAGTGCTAGAAGGCACCCGGGTGCCTTTTAGTTTCTAGAAGTATGCAAGACCATGACCAAATTTTAAAAACGGCAATTTGTAGAGTCCTACAAGCCGATTTTGTATTAGAAAAACAAAGCAGCTACATGTATTGACCAATCCACAGCTTTGGCAACATTTTTACTTTAAATGACACCACAACTTGTAGTTACTCTGACTCAGTTGGGCACAATTGCAGAATACCCCACCACTCGATCTATCCACCTCGTAGCCGGCTACGGAGTCACAGTTGATTGCCCTCAATAAACCTTCTCAGCGCTACATGTATGTGCTATGTGTCATGCTCCACTGCACTCCCACTCCGTATCCGCGTAGCCGGCAACAGGGTAGTTGGTTTGGACTTAGAATTTTTTCAGCAACTCCCATTACTTTTGTGTTGCTTCGTTCTCAAGCATACATGGCATATAAGGACTCCCACTTCGTATCCGCGTAGCTGGCAACAGGGTAGTTGGTTTGGACTTAGAATTTTTTCAGCAACTCCCATTACTTTTGTGTTGCTTCGTTCTCAAGGAGACCCCCACTCAGTATCCGAGTAGCTGGCAATGGACTTGATTGTTTCTTTTCCAGTGATTCCAACCTCGTAGCCAGAGAATTTAGGGGTGTATTTCCGAGTGGCGGGGTATTCTGCAATTACTCCCTAAGTTATCTCCAACTTTGTGGTCGACTTGTACAATGGACAACTAGGCAAACAATCAAGTTGTCATCAACCCTATAGTCAGACCCAAGGTTTGTGATTACTTACAAGTGGTCGGATTCTCCCCACGGTAAAAAATACCCCCTCTTACCCCTATAGAGCGGGAGCCGGGGGGGGGGGGGAGGGGGGGGGGGGGGTCAACCTAGCTGGAAAGTTAACCAATTTTCATGTATGCAGCAATGTTCCACATGCATACCAATGTAAGGAAATGACGTCTGCCGGGCACACTGTGGTGGGTATTGTCAGGAGGGCCATGAGAAAGGGGCCACAAAATTGAGCTAGATCAGCTGGTGAGTTAACCCTATGAAACATACTGGAAAATGTTGGGCCTAGTCCCAGGTATCATAAATGGCCACTGCCAGACATTTTCAGTGGTGGAAGGTGCCCGCCAGACATGAAAAACCTGTATAGGAGGGGGCGTGGCCATAACCCCCTCCCATTCCTTTTCGCCGATAGAGTAGCAACGCATCGATATAGAAAAATGTAAAGTGCCCTGACTAGAGTATGCTTCTAAAGCAAAAACACCCTACACACTAAGCCTAAATGTGAAAATCAAAATTTGACAAAGTGCGACACGTTTTTGTACATGTGGATGTGTGGCCTATGTTTACGGAGGTAGTCCAGTAAATTGGCCACATTTATGGGGCTACCGAGAGGGAAGTCAAGTTATTTCAAAATGAGGCTAAAGACTAGACCTGTACATGTCCATCCATGGTCCAACTGTTTGACAAGACTGACTTCTTCATTCATTGTCATTAGTCAGGTGCCTGACTATGGAGAAATGTGTAGAAATAGTAACCTAGTACAGTCAATAGTCCGAGTAACTTGGACCCAACTTATCGCCTTTTTTAACAAATGTTAAAAAAGGCGATAAGTTGGGTCCAAGTTACTCGGACTAGTACAGTCAATTGACCGGTTCCGCAATTTGACCGGTTCCGCAATTTCGGAAAACTAGCTCTAGTTTTCAGGAAGACGAAAACGCCAAGGACTTAAACTTTGGTACCGATGGAAAGGTTATTCAATCTACTTTTCAAAAATGGTTTTAGTTTTAGGATACTCACTTGCATTTAAAAATAAATCCCCTACGACCGTCACTTGCCGTTAAGGAACTGCCGAAATGGAACGCGCACGCGTGATTTCATGTTTGTCGGCCTGCTACACGATTGTTCAGGGGAATTAAATCATGGCCATAGATGCAACTTGTTCGGAAATTATTCATTATTCCACCATACAAATATAAGATTTGAAGTCTTTGATTTTTTTTTTCTATACCCACCAGAGTAACTGCTGGTCGTTTGGCCGGTTCCGCAAACGCATTCATACTGCCTATACAATACACTGGCCATGGTGTGACTGTATTAACCAGTGCTGCTATTGATGACAAGTATTGTTGATGGCAGCCCCCTAGCGCGGCGCACATTATTTATTTTGGCATGAATCTTCTTCTTTTTTTTTACAACTTACAAGTTACAAAGAAATTGAGAATTTCTATTAATCCTTGTTTAAAAATGTCGAATTTGATGATCATTTCTGGGTGTTCAGTGCAAAATTGAAAACGAAATTGAAACAAGATGATTTTGTTTCTGTCCAGCTTCCGGACAGCACTGTAGGTTTTGGATAAAAAAAAATGTGGACTTCAAAATTTAAAATACAAAAATCTTTCTATAGTCAGCAAAATTCCCACTAAACGTTTTTCCTTTGCTCTAAAAAAATTCACCGCATACTTGGTGTTGAAGCGGTTGTGCCTCAGGGGTTTGGATTCATTTTAGAGTTACAACTCTCCACATCCAGGGTGCATGAGTCAGCCCAGGCTAGGAGGTGAGGTTTGTGGGGAACAATTAAAAATAGTGCATAATAATATGAAAAATAAAACGCAGGTGTGTTTCTAACCCAAAGGACATTTCCAGTAATTTAGTAAATTTAAAATTATCCTTTTTCGGTGGGTCCTAACCTTACTCTTTACCCTTTAAAACAAAAAGAAAAATAGGTCAACTAATATTTCATAATGAAGACCAGTCTCTCGTCAGTACAGAGACACAAATTTTGATTGTTTTCTTGGAGCACAAAATTTGTCAAATACTCTAAACCATTTCTCATTATTGTCTCAACTTGGTCATAAACTAAATGATTTATATAAAATTTCTGTTTCATACAGACAATGCCAAAGACAAAGAAGAAGATTACGCCAGCCTCCTGATTGATAGGCCATAAGAGGCCATCAGCACATCTTTTTCAGTTTTACCTGTGAAGGTCAAGAAGAAGTTGAATATTATAGTGAAAGTACATGTAGCTGTGTGTCTTCATCACCATTCCTTTGAATTAATTTATTTATGTGACAAGTTCTTTTTTTTTGTATAGTGCTAGCTTCTGGACTCTGGAGTGCTTAAATTATTTGTGTATAACAATTAAACAGACATGCAGGTGCCATAAAGGCAATAAATTTAAAGGCGTTACATACATTTGTTATTAACCAGTACATGTAAAAGAGAAGTGAGGTGTTATAAAAACTATGCTACTTTGCATGAAAAACCTACAGAACATGTCTATTTCTGTGATTCATCACCATTTATTTATATGACAGGTATAAATTTGGATTTAAAAAGGGTAGCTTCTTGAGTGCTTTAGTTTTGTATTACATTTACATTTTACACATGCTGGTATCACATGTCAATATATTGAAAGGGTTATCGGGATGTATGTGATGAATGTGTTGACATTTTCTTTTAAGAGCATCACCGAACGGTAGATGAGGTTTGCTAATACAGTTGCCCAAGCATGGTACACGTACAAAGTTAATATGTGCAACAACGTATGAGGAGTAACTGAACCCTCTCTTTAACTTTCCAACGACATTATAATTAGAAATTGCCATTGCTATGAAACAGCCATAGGATTTATGACATTTTTAACAATTTGTTTTAATTTGTTTGTGAAATTTAATTTGAATGTGAAACAATATGTATGTGGCCTGTATGTATCTGGCCTGCTGAGGCCTGTTCCCCTCCCCTCCCGGCCCCCAGGTTCCCCCTACTGGATGTTGGTGCACACAAAATTAAGCATATTGTGTTTTTACCCTGAACAAATTGAAACACTCCCCCCCCCCCCCCACAAAAAAAGTAAAATGAAAAAAAGGGGGAGGGAATAAACAAAAGTAAATAAATAATAATAATTAAATAAACAAATAATATTAATAAACAGTGCTCCCCTGCAGACAATGATTCAGTTCCATGCAGTCACTTCCTTAAGTGTCATAGGAATTAAAATGATCCTGGAGAAAATATTAATTCAAATTCATAAATAGCTGGTCTGTGCTTATGTGAGGAAAAAACAACCAACTGGAGCAACTCGGTACAAGGTTTGTGTCTGGTTCTATCCAAAGTCAGAGTGTGTCTAAATAAGAATAAGACAACAACAAAAAAGGAAAATATTAGCGATTGCAAGATGATTGACAGAATGCACAAAAAGCTAGAAAGTCATTTTATTGGATTATTATTATTATTATTCTATCATTTCTGGTAATGAAACCAAGGATTCCTAAAAAGTGCCCTAAGCACTGTAGCTCGCAAGCCTGAAGAAACCTGTGGAGAGAAGACAATGAGAAGAAATTACAGATTGAAGCAAGTCAAATAATTATATTAACATAAACAAAGATCCAACGAACCATAACAACTTCAGGGAGTTACATTTTGTAAATTTGGACGCATTATAATGTGCAGACCTTGGCTCATTCACAGGGAAATATAATCCACATCTTTTCTTGGCTGGTTTGGGGGCAAAAACGATCTAGATTTGGCCAGTAAACAAGGAATATTTTCAGTCCAGTCTCACAGAGGGCGCCGTTTGCGAAACCGGAAAACATTTGCGGAACCGGTCAAAGCACCGACCTCTACAAAATGTCCTGGCAAATTTTTCTTTCAAACGATCGCAGAAAACTATTCATATCATGAAGTAGGTGAGTAATTTGCGCATATTTATAGATAGGTAGCTTCCTGTGAAGGCGCGTTTTTTCGCCACAAGACGCTTCAGACGATTTGCGATTGCGGAACCGGTCAAACGACTGTACCCGACATCCTAGATATTTCTTTTGGCACAGTCATGACAATCAGCTGACACAGTCATGACAGTGACAGTTGATAGATGCAGTACTGAAGAGTTGTTGGACTGGTTGTTTCATGTGCCAGTCTATTTTCTTGTATTGCATGTTTTCAGTACCTCAAGTTTTGGGACTGTCATACACAGTATTGAGAGTCCCAAAGTAGGACCAGTTCTAGGGGTATACCATGGTTACGGAGGCCACACAAGTGCGGCTAGGCCTAGCCCCATAAATGTGGCCTATTTACTGGACTGCCTCCGTAAACATAGGCCACACATCCACATGTACAAAAAACGTGTCGACTTTGCCAAATTTTGATTTTCACATTTAGGCTTACTTTTTACGTTTTTTTGCTTTAGAAGCATTCTCACCCTCTATATAGGCTAATCAGAAAGTGCTGCCTTTTTCAGATGTCCATTTTTCGTGAAATTTCCAGATACATTTGCACACGTTTGCGTAGCCCGACTGCGTCTGGCCGTACAGTACTATCGCAAGCTCGGTAGTACGGCCAGACGCCCGATGCTTCCACAGAGACTGAATTTTTTGGGCCGCCGATGTAGCGATTTTGCTACATCTTTCGATCGCGATTATCTTTTCATCCAGGACACAAATTTCCAAAGTTAAGGTTCGTAGTCGTAGAGCAACTCATACCTTTTCGAAAAAACGTTCTTTGGTCTCAATATTTTCATCCATCTGGCCACAAGATGAATTTCAGTCATCAGATTCCACAAATATCGTCCCCCATGCGATCCCCCATGCGATTTCAAAATGGCGGCCGCGCTGTAATGTATGCATTATGCGAGCGCGCTTGGGCAAGATAATGAATATGCATTATTTAGTTCATGACCTCGTGTTTGTATGGCCAGCCTCGCAGAGTGTCCGACAAACGTCATAAACTATGATGCATATTCATTATCTTACCCAAGCGCGCTCGCATAATGCATACATTACAGCGCGGCCGCCATTTTGAAATCGCATGGGGGATCGCATGGGGGACGATATTTGTGGAATCTGATGACTGAAATTCGTCTTGTGGCCAGATGGATGAAAATATTGAGACCAAAGAACGTTTTTTCAAAAAGGTATGAGTTGCTCTACGACTACGAACCTTAACTTTGGAAATTTGTGTCCTGGATGAAAAGATAATCGCGATCGAAAGATGTAGCAAAATCGCTACATCGGCGGCCCAAAAAATTCAGTCTCTGTGGAAGCATCGGGCGTCTGGCCGTACTACAGAGCTTGCGATAGTACTGTACGGCCAGACGCAGTCGGGCTAACGTTTGCGTATCAAAATTTCAACATGAAATTTCACAAAAATTAAATATCTGAAAAAGGCAGCACTTTCTGATTAGCCTATATAGAGGGTGAGAATGCTTCTAAAGCAAAAAAAATCTACAAAGTAAGCCTAAATGTGAAAATCAAAATTTGGCAAAGTCGACACGTTTTTTGTACATGTGGATGTGTGGCCTATGTTGGCCACATTTATGGGGCTAGACTAGGCCTTACCCTCGACTGTCAGCAATCACACCAGTTCCAGCTTTCTTCCTTTCGTTCACTTTGCGACTAATTGCAAGTAAGTCTATTTTCCTCCTCTTTTTTCGACGCCCTTTTCCGTGTTTCTGGCGTTTATTTCCCCGCATGTTTATTCTTTCAATTTACAAAATGTAGTTGTAGCGTCTGAGTTTGATCTGACTCGGCAATGTCGTGATGTGCATGCGCTATATGCATGAGTACAGTCGCGTCGAGGGTACGGTGTAGCTAGGCTATTAATCGCGGAAAACTTCATTGCACGTGTGTTTGACTTTGAGACATTGATTCCGTCCATGCCGTCTGTGTATATGGAGATCAATGGTTTGAGACTGGAGTCAAGACTTGGCACCAGCCTAGCCATCATACGTACCATGCGCCCTCAAGCGATGAGTCCGTCGAAAATTCGCTCACATGGCTACCCATTCGCTCGTACCCGTACCCTCCCCCCCCCCCCCCCCGCCCTGTTTGCAGGGCGGGGGTACGGTACGAGCGAAGTCTACCCACAGCCCAAAACGGAATCTGTGGGTTCGATAATGGTACAGGCGCGGCAAAGGGTTTATCGCAAATATCGCTTGACCTAGCAAAAAATAATACTAAAGGACTGTGGGAAGCTGCAATGATCCTTTCCTCCCTACGTACGTACCTCAAAACGTTTTGGCTAAAGCGAAATCGTATAGCAGCTTATTTTGCGACAACGCGCCTATTATTTTTTTTATTAATTGCCAAACTTTAATAAATATAGACAAAATATTTCACAATTCTCTATCCATTTTTTTGGCGTGCATTTTTTTTTAACAAGACTTAGCCAGCCTAGTAAAGCTGGTCCAAGAGCGCACTAAATTATACTATTGATTCAGAATGGCAAACACGTTCATAGAATAAGCTGTACAATCAGGGGCGGCGGAATGCTTTTCAAACTTGGGGGGGGGGGGGCACCAAAAAGGGGCACTTGCTCAGAAAAAGGGGCACCGTCGGTGTGAAAGTGGAGGAAAAGAATATGGTCCCGTTCATTTCGCTATAAATCTATATGACGAGAAACAAACTATGAATACGTTGTCCATCTTGCTCTTTTTGTTTCTTTTACCAGTTATGTAGAGAGACCTCTTTTTTTTATCGCGGGAGGGGCACTGTTGCTTTTGATGGCCAGTTCAGTGACCATTTTATTCGCGTGAAGAGCAGTATTATTTTTAGGGGCCAGTTTTCCATCTGGAGAAGTTATCGCGAGAGGAGCACTATTGTTTTTTATGGCAATTTTTCCATCTCGAGAGGGGCACAATTTTATTATTGTGTGAAGGGTATTTATGCTTTCGATGGGTAGTTTTCCATTTCGAGAAGGTGCACTATCTTGTTAATGCGAGAGGGGTAGGGGCAGTTTTGCATTACAAGAGAGGAGACACATTTTGTTTGTAGCGCAATCATATGCTTTCATACGTGCGTTTGAGGGGCAGATTTGTTTTCCTCTGGGGGGGGGGGGCACATTAATAACCGCGAGAGGGGTACTTTTGTTGGCCTGGGAAAATGTGCAAGATTTTTGAACACGTATGCAAATGAGGAAAAGTCTGGTGCCTGTATGTGCGTTACATTAGCGCTTGTTTTTCGTATGCGGTGTCTGGGGTAAAAAAACAGAGTCAATTCGTCGGAGCGCGAGCATGAGTTGCGAAAACACGATTTATTTAAGTAAACTGTTACATGCAGTATCACATTTCATATTAATATGAACAAATTGGAAAGGAAATGAGTATTTTCGAGACGGCGCGAAAACACGTACTGCACGCAACAGTTTTGAATAACAACACCAAATACACGATAAAAATCAATTTCTAGCCAATTGCGGTATCGAATCAGGATACAGCAAGAAAGTTTCCTACAGGGCTTACTATTGGAAACGCAGTTGGAAATAAAGTAAGCACTGGGGACGAGGTTGGGTCACGGTGCACCGTGACCGCGGTGGCCGCGCGCAAGTGATGAAAACGAGTCAACTTTCGCCGTGCGCGACGACTATACACTTATCTTATCATTGCGGTCCATAGCCTTGGTCAATGCTCTCGTCGTTATTCGTCCCGTACGCGGTCAATCGTCGGCATATATCCTCACGCGCTATGCACATGCATGTAAAAATACAGCGCAAACAGCGACCTCACGCGGCCACTATTTTCATGCAAATCAGTTGGAGACGATGTCGAGCCTTGGTTCAATCGTCCATGTGAATTTTTGGGGGTGGTGCTCATTATGTTAATAGCCTTAGCTGACCTTAAATGTCGTTTTCTATTGGTCGATCGTTGCGTGGAAACTTGCATAGTGAAACGTGGCACCGTACATAATCCATACACAAACACATTGTGTGTCTCTGCACACGGCACCAATGCACAAAAACTGTGGTTCCTGTCACGTCCGCAAAAGGCGGAATAGCTGCAAATAATTTGATGACGTCCGGATTTACAAAGGTGTGATTGGACACTCCACATATTAGCCCTGCCTACATTATCTGTATTCGCATACGAGGTCGTGCGCTGGAAATCTAGCGCAAAGTAAAGAAAAACATAAGCTTTGGCCGACGATTGAACCAAGGCTCGACATCGTCTCCAACTGATTTGCATAAAAAATAGTGGCCGCGTGAGGTCGCTGTTCGCGCTGTATTTTTACATGCATGTGCATAGCGCGTGAGGATATATGCCGACGATTGACCGCGTACGGGACGAATAACGACGAGAGCATTGACCAAGGCTATGCGGTCCACTGTACTAATTCAAGCCCCATTGAAAACAGTGTAAAATCAACAAAGTTACGGGCCAAATAACATGCATGCCAACATCACTGGGGTTTCTCAAACAAAAATTAAATTATTGTCTTGTCTTTCATTTTTTTTTCATTTCTTTTCAATTTTAGGTACATTAATAGCCAATTACATTTTTAAATATTCACACCCAAACAAAATCACCTCCCGAAAAGTGATAGTTCCCAAGCCTGCATGTAGCCATTTTACAAGTGGCATCCTTCCACTTTCACAGGCAAATAGGACCCATTTTTAATCCGTAATTTTATCAAGCCTGCCCTCAGATGGAAGCCTAAAAATATGGTGGCCCTGAAGGGACATCGCATATCGCAAACGTGTGCGCATGCGTATGCGATGTCGCGAAATTTATCGCGAATGTGTGCGCATACGTATGCGATGTCGCGAAATTTATCGCGAATATGTGCGCACACGTATGCGATGTCGCGAAATTTATCGCGAATATGTGCGCACACGTATGCGATGTCGCGAAATGTATCGCGAATATATGCGCACACGTATGCGATGTCGTGAAATTAATCGCGAATATGTGCGCACACGTATGCGATGTCGTGAAACAATTCGCGAATATGTGCGCACACGTATGCGAATTTGTTTGCAATGTCGTGAATTTTATTGCATACCTTGTCGCATACCTTTCAGTAAAATTCCTAATGAACTGGGGAGTTGTAGCAGCTAGTCTGGAATCTAGACGTACTGTTAGATACAAACAGGGTCTGACTAATAAACTTCGCGCGCACGCTGTTCCTCGTGCAATATGTGTACTAGTAGTAACGATTGCACGAGGAACAGCGTGCGCGCGAAGTTTATTAGTCAGACCCTATTTATATCTAACAGTACGTCTAGATTCCAGACTAGCTGCTTCAACTCCCCAGTTCATTAGGAATTTTACTGAAAGGTATGCGACAAGGTATGCAATAAAATTCACGACATTGCAAACAAATTCGCATACGTGTGCGCACATATTCGCGAATTGTTTCACGACATCGCATACGTGTGCGGACATATTCGCGATGTCCCTTCAGGGCCACCATATAAAAACCAGGGAGTTGATCCTTGGGTATATTTACACAATTCCACCGTTTTTAAAGCCAAACGGTCTCCGTTTCCAAAAGAAATTGTGGGGGGCACTTTTTATGCTAATGACTCGCGTAGAAATTATCAGTTGAATTAGTTCAGTGCACCCTATAAACATATCGGGGAGATGGGAACGCAAAAGGTGGATCTGATCCGGCAATTTGACCTGTTAACATCCGCCCGGTACACGAGTGGCGCGAAAATGTTGCGGTCTCATGAACGAAGAAACACATTTTCAGGCGTGTAGCTCATGTGAACATTTCCAGCGTATACAGTAGTAGGCATCCGTCCGTCAATACTGACGATGGACTGCGCCCGGGGGATTGTCGTCTTTGTTGCAGTGGCGGCTGTGGCTGAGCAGTCCAATTCTTGCATGACAGTCTCTGCCGCAATTAGCGCAGACGAAAGGAGAGGGGACTGACTCAGGGGTGGGGGCTGCTACTCGCAATTTCCTCCTCTGCCTCTTCTCCTGCAGCAAGGAGGTGCGCCTCTCCTCAGCGCGGTGGATCCCTGCGGCAACTGTCTGTCTCCAAGCACTGCGATCCTGGGCGGCTTCCTCCCAGCTGTTGGGGTCTATGCCAGCCTGCCTCATGTCGCGTTTACAGACGTCCTTGAATCGTAGGTTCGGACGACCAATTGGCCTGGAGCCTGACGAAAGCTCGCCATAAAGGATGGCCCTTGGAAGACGACCGGAGTCCATCCTGTGGACGTGACAGAGCCATCTGAGGCGGCGCTGGCTCAACATGGCGAACATGCTGGTGGAGTGGGCACGTTCCAAGACTTCCGTGTTGGGGACTTTGTCCTGCCATGTGATGCCAAGGATGCGGCGTAGGCAGCGCAGGTGGAAGCTGTTCAGCCGTTTTTCTTGTCTGGTGTAGGTGGTCCAGGCCTCACTGCTGTATAGCAGAGTGCTGATGACGCATGCTTGGTAGACCTGGAGTTTTGTGCACACAGTTAGGTTCTTGTTAGACCACACTCTCTTTGCCAGCCTGGCCATCACTGCGGCGGCCCTGGCAAGACGGGTGCTCAGTTCTGCGTCAAGTGACAGGTTGCTGGCGACTGTTGATCCGAGGTAAGTGAAGGTGCCCACACAGTCTAGGGTCTTGTTGTCAATAGAGATGGAGGGTGGGGTTTCGACTTCTTGGCCCATGACATGGGTCTTCTTAATGCTGATGGTAAGGGCGAACTCCTTGCATGCATAAGAGAGCCTGTCCACCAACTGCTGGAGCCCTGTCTCTGTGTGTGATGCTAGAGCTGCATCATCTGCAAATAGCATTTCCCTCAGGAGTACACTGGTCACTTTCGTCTTGGACCTAAGGCGGGCAAGGTTGAAGAGTTTGCCATCAGCTCTTGAGTGTAGGTAGACGCCTTCAGGGGATGAGCCAAATGCAAACGACAGCAGGAGAGAGAAGAAAATTCCGAAGAGGGTCGGTGCAAGAACACAGCCCTGCTTCACTCCGCTGCGGATTGGGAAGGCCTCTGAAGTTTCTCCATCACAACAGACTGAACCCTGCATGTTGTTGTGAAATGATGTCACGATGCTGAGAAGTTTTGGAGGGCAACCAATCTTTGCAAGCAGCTTGAAGAGACCATCTCTGCTAACAAGGTCGAAGGCCTTTGTGAGGTCGACGAAAGCGAGATACAAAGGTCTCCTCTGTTCACGGCATTTCTCCTGCAGTTGTCGAAGGGTGAAGATCATGTCCACCGTGGATCTTGCTGCCCTGAAGCCACACTATGTCTCAGGGTAGACGCGCTCCGCCAGAAGCTGGAGCCTGATAAGGGCAACGCGTGCGAAGACCTTCCCCACAGTGCTGAGCAGAGAGATGCCGCGGTAGTTGTTACAGTCGCTGCGGTCGCCCTTGTTCTTGTACAGGGTGACGATTTTGGCGTCACGCATGTCCTGGGGGACGGCTCCTTCATTCCAGCAAAGGCAGAGGAGGTCGTGAAGATGTGGCAAAAGGGTTGGTTTCCCAAGTTGGATGATGTCAGATGTTATCCCATCAGCACCTGGGGCCTTGCCGCAAGCAAGAGTGGCGCGAAAATGTTGCGGTCTCATGAACGAAGAAACACATTTTCAGGCGTGTAGCTCATGTGAACATTTCCAGCGTATACAACATGCACAATAAACAACCGCTGAACTACGGGCTAGCACCGCGCATGCAAAAACGCACGTGGTATCCTATAACTACACTATATAGGCCTTATTTTTGTTGCGTGTTCGTCCATTACTAAACCTTTTTCATTCATGAAATTTTACTTATTTTTCCATCCATAAATGACTCTGAGTCCGCACTCACCAAAAGACTTCACTTTGGCACAGAATCATGGAAAAGCTTACGAGTATGCGATGAGAATAGTGCCGATAACGCGGTACGAACGGAGGTGACAAATCTGAAGTATTGATTATAGAAAATTGGAAAATCATGTGACCGTTCCTAACCAATGAAAAGCTTCAGAACCAGGGAATCCCTTATCGATGCATTGGTTTTTGCCGTGATGTCACACAATGAGCGGCTCTGTTGGATTTCACTTGTTAATTTATGCAAGCACGGATCCTCTACGGATCCGTGATTTATGTTGGTGAATTCGCGTAATTTTTGTCGGTGAATTCTGATAGTGCTGTTTTGAAAACTGACCCATCCTGGCCTAGCATGCAACCATGCAACAATGGCACTCCCACAGAGCGCGCGTAATTCCGAACTCAGTGACCTTTCGGACCCAACATTTCCGTACGAAAAGGTGGATCAAGCATAAGTGGGAACGCGACTTGCGGTTTCGTTGCGTTAAGATAACGATCACACCAAAATGCCGGATCTTGATCCACCTTTTCCCAATTCAAGTGGGAACGCGGTGTGTGTGTTCGAGAGGTATTATAACACTCTGTTTAAGACCGGTGGGAGTCTGGCTGGATGGGTGATAATTACCCGAGGCGAAACCGAGGGTGATTATCGCCCATCCAGACTCCCACCGGTCTTAAACAGAGTGTTTAATGCCGACCGAACACATACTTATTCCCATTCATATACTTTTTCAAAAACAAATCTTTTCGGTCCAAAAATTAAAACAAGTCAAAAACTAGACGCTGCCAACCATTTTTCAGCAATTTTACTTCATGTTTTACGAAACTGACTATAATATGGAATGCCCCTCCACAAATCGTTACCTTATAAGGACATTGGCGTGCGCGTCGTGCGCACTGCGCGATGTCGCGCAAAACGCAGCTGGGCTGGTGGAGTGTGAATTTCGGACCATGAAACACTGATTCACTGGTAGTATTGCGCATGCATACGTGGGGAATGTGAACGTTCAACCAATGAAACGTTAAAAGGCACCGGATTTCATGGGAGTCCAAATTTTATGTGACACTGGAAAAGTGTTTAAGACCAGCTAGCCATGTCTTTATCATCAGTTTAAGACCGGCCACGTGACGGGATCTCGACCAATATGAATGCGTAAACTGTCTTAGGTATTTATGAATACCAGTTTAATTCACAAGTGACAGTCAGTCAGTGCTAAAGATATAAGTGACAATATTTATAGCTCTAGTTTATAAGACTTCTTATTTCAAACGCTATAGCGTTCTCGGCAATTACAAGGCCTAGTAGGTAACAAGTTGACTCACCGGGGCTTCATCAGTTTTACTCAGAAGTTTCCGAAGATTTTAACCAGATATCCATTTAGACCAAGGGTATTTTTACTAGAATACCTTTACTTTAAACGGATACGTTTAATGGGCTTGTAATTTCATAGATTATCTGGGATTTTAAAAGCTATACTAACTACATTTTTTTGTTGTTAAGTAGCAATGGCTGCAAATCTTACTAATAGGTAATGTATAGACTTTTTGCTCAGATTTTTTTTCTGGTATAATTATAGCATTCACAGTACATTGTTTTTGTATGGTGTACAATTATTGAACATCTATAGATACCAGATATTTTCGGAACATTTCTATTTGTTCTTAAGCATAATACAATGTACTATTATACACATATATTCACAAATCAAATCAACCCGAATTTTTTTAGTAACTGATAAAAATGTGTTCGAAATAAAACCTGTGATCTATTTCAATGTCCCACGCATAATTTGCATTATGATGGCCAAATTGCCATAGACTAACGTAGCCAGGACAAAAAAACACACCGGTAACTGTATGCCTATATGCAGAAATAGAGTTTTCAAAGTTGTATTGCTATCTGGCGCTTCTACTACACATATATAGCCAAATCTGTTGTAGGCGGTAGTAACAAAATCGGTTCCATTGAAGTGTAACACTGGTTGCGTCTAAGTTTCATGTGCGGAGTAGGCTATGTTCTTCAGGCACTTGTGTTTCCGTTTACCGATCCTGGATTTAAGCACCGGGCCTCGGTCGTTCACAGATGAAGGCGTATTTTCTCGTACAAGTTTCATCATTCCAATAGCCGGAGATAGTGTGGATCGCCCCGCAATCTTGGCTGTGACCGTAGTTGTTAGGCTGCTCACGCAACCAGTTGGTGTAATCCAATGGTTTGTTGATACCGACCCATTTGTAGTGGCCCTCCCAGTCGAGGTCGTTGAATCCGACCCAGAGTCTATCGTAACGGCTGCCTTTCTCGGCCCACATGTGCAGGATGAAGTCTTCCTCCCCTGCAGTATTAAGGGACACCAAGTTGGCTTTGTGGTCCAAGCCCTTGCAGTGCCCCTGAGCACTGTGCCAGTCCATGGCCTTGCCAATGAAACGGTAGCAGCGGTTACCTCGGAGGGTCCAGTAGTGAGGACAGCAGTATGGGGTGACCGCCGCCTGTACCGACGACAGACCCACGGCTAAGAAGCAAACCAAGGCTAACAAATACCGTCCCATCTTCACGGCAGATACGAAAAACTGATTGCGTTGGCTGTGATGAACGATTGGTTTGGCTTGGTATTATTACGAAGTGAATGACGTACACTCATGAACATCTAGCTATAGTATACCCAACCCGGTATATAGGTATACTGCACCTTTGTTTGCGTATTGTACATGTATATTGACTACCCCAATTTTTGAAGTAGGTGCACCAAAGCTAATATTGGGCAAGCCTCGGTTGTTTTGAATAACACTGATCTGGTGATATGCAAATTGTCACGATTGAAATGAAATCTCAAATGATTTCCAATAGGTTATTGTTGTAGAACGACCCTTCTAAACTTAAAGGGTTCCACATCTTTCAGTTTCCACGACCGCGCAACATCTCAAAGATAATGTAACCGTCAAAGAACGTCTCCATGGTGAATTAATATTCGTTACACCGACAATTATGTAATATCATTGTATCCCACTAAACAAGGGCGTGAATCACTTCTCATAAGTAGGTGAAACCTTCATCAGAAGCATTAGTTAATGCGAGCGCGCGGCATGGGGTTCGGGGCTCCGGATTTGGGATTGTAGATCTCAGGCATAAGACAAAAGACCATCATTAATTTTAAACAGCATTTTCGATTTTGGAGTCATTGACTAAACTATTCTGAACTAGAGAATCAAAATTATGTGGGCTACAATTTTTATTCGGGGACGAAAACAAGTGTGTGTGTGTGTGTGAGGGGGGGGGGGTGTCAAACGATATGATATCCCCCACTTTGAAAAGTGATTGGGGGTGTCCCCCACCGATCGACGCCCATGTCTCTATATCCATGGCATGCTTCGAGAAACCTTGTGGAAACTTTCATGTTGCTAATACAATGGCTTATTTAATTTTAAACCAGAATACTTGAACCAAGAGAAGCGGATTGCATTGGTTTCATCTTGCATCGACTTCAGGTAACCACAGTATGCCCATTGGCAGAAAATTCATAGTCGAGCGCTGCGCATTGTGGGAGCTGTAACACTCAGTGTGATACAAATACGGATTGCAATCAATGTTTTATTGCCGGCTAGCCTACGTTTACCTTCTTCAGAGTTGCACCGAGACCGATTTTGCATCATCAGCCCACCCCCCCCCCACCTCCAGCTATGTCTACAGGTGGTTCGATGGGTCCACAGTGAATTGAATGAATTGACGTCGATGATTGCATGGCCTGAATTTGGCCCGTGTCTCATTTCATTTCAATGTGATTTGTATAGCACTTCAGCGTAACCATTTACACAATGATTTACCCACTGCCAAGCCCAGCCCAACCCAGCCTGGTTTGAATTCACCGAGTAAAAGATTAGCCCAACCCGTACATTCTGTTTTCACGATAGCGCTAGAGACACAGACACGCCATACCTGCTAGTCCGCGAAATTAAGAAGAGGACAGAACACTGACGTTGACATATTGACGGTTTAAACGTCACCTGCCATCAATTAGCAGAGGGCCAGAAATCTGTGCAGTTAAGACAAAAAATATGCCTTTTAAGGTATTTTCTTAACCTCAAAAGGGCCGGGTTATTTCGACCATATCTCACAGCCGGATCCCCCCCCCCCCTCAGATCTCGGCCATCGAGTGACACAAAATTATGAAACTCGGTACATGCATAGAACAATACCCAAGAAATTGCATGACTACAGGTTAAAGGGTTTTGGAATGATGGCTAATTAATTATTCATGCACTAATGGTAAATCTGCTTTGTGTACACTATACGTGGGGAAATTCAGTTTTCACGGCGCGTAGCGCCGGTGTCATATGAAAATCGGACTCGTATGAAAATCGGACTCTTTTCCCCTTTTGTTGGTTAAACCCTCTCACGTGACCGGTCCCTCTCCTAATTATCTATGCATGAGCATGCGCAATACCACCAATGAGTCCGTATTTCATAAAACCTAAATTCATGCTACACCGGAAACGTTTTCGCTGCGCGGCAACCCTCTGTCAGAATTTTATGTTTTTGGTATCAAAAGATGCGCAAGACTCGAGGCTAAAAAGTCAGGACAGCTTGGGTCGCGAAAAAAAGATTGGCAAGGGTATCGCGGAAAAAGTTGAGGGGGGGGGGGCGGATTCCGCCCGCGGCCCTTTAGGGTTTAAAGAAATAATAATCGTATTGGTGGGATATAATACCGGACTCCGTCTGTACTTTGATCAATCATTTCTTTTGTTTCTTACTATCTTCAGTTTCTGAGCACCTCAAAGCAAATGATTTCACTTCGCGTTTTCTCCGTACTGGCGAGTGGGTGGCCCCGCGTTTTTCTCATACTGGCGAACAGGTAGCACTGTTCGCCGGTATGGAAAAGGCGCGGTGCTACCTGTTCGCCAGTATGGAAAAAACGCGACGTATAGTCAAGATACCAGTCGATAGGAGCGCCTTTCCCTTGTTTTTCGTTTCGCTGAATGTTACACGAAACCATTAAGGCAAAGAGATCGGAAGACCAAAACATTGATAGGCCTATCAATGGGCAAATTGATTGTGCTTGAATGTTTTGTATGAACGAAGCGTATCCAGCATATTCTGCTAATGATAAGGAAGTTGATAATTAACAGTTGTTTGCTTTCAATAGCTTGGCAAAGGGGGAGGGGGATTGCTACATTTTCTAAGGTGGGGAGGGGGCATCGGCCCCCTCGGCCCCCGTTTCCGCCGCCCCTGAGTGAAGTGGTCGTGACTGCAGGCACATTTCTATAGGTATACATGTACATGCATGTAGGCCGACATCTGCAAGGAAACCGGGACCCAATTGGTTTTTTTTTAAATTCCTCATTATAAAGGCATGCACAAAAATATCTTGCCACATGCTTCCTAAAAAAACACCATTGCCCTAAACCATAAGCTAGACAACGTATATGCGGTGTGCAATCGAATGAGGAAGGGCACCATTGATAAGAAAGAAGAGGAGGTCGAAGGGTTGATTCAAACTTTGGAGTGCCAGTTTCGAAGAAAGTTCACGACTTCTTTTGGGTTGTCAGTCTATCTGTTTTATACATTTTTACACTCATTTTCGAGAGGTTGCATTCATGAGTTAAAACATTATGTCAACCACACCTGAACCGTACAAGAACGTGTCTTGAATGGCCATTGCCTGATGGAAGTCAGGGGAAATGCATGCATTTCAAAACTATAGGTGATAAATACGCATCGCGTGGAATTAATATTTGAGATGTGGTTCAGCATTCAGCAGCCATCTTGGATATTTTCGGGGGGGGGGAGGGGGAGGTTTAATGCAGACGTATCCCTGTGGAACAAAGGCACTGCACCTCACAGATTGCACGTATGCTAAGGGTCCATATAGAAACAACTTGGTTTTCATTACTGCAATCACAATTGTTTTTGAATTGAAAATTGATTTTAATTAAAAAATAATACATAACCGTCTACACTGACTTTAGCATCTGTTTACAATTGCAAACAGTATAAGAAATAAAGTGCATATGGTGCTAGCATTTTAATCGGTTATGGTTAGTGAAGTATATATAAACGTTCGAAATTGAATTGAACATTTACAACGTCAAAACTGATAAAGTTTCTTCCCGGAGCATTTTCTTAAACAATGAAGTGGTGAAAACAATAACTAGATTTAAAAAAAAATGAAAACGGCACTCCACTGTTTCTTGAGCATTACCAAATATCGTTCAATCCACTATTACTAAAAGAACCGACTGCCATGAAATGGGATGTGAATTTGTCATCATTAATGTTGATGTAAATATGTCAAAACATTGGTGTTTTTTTCTAAACTGAGTAGACACTTAGGATAGGAAAAAATACTTTGATTCGGTCGAAAGGATAATACAAGTTTAATTTTAATACACTGGTGATTATATCCTGAAATAATGTCCAAAGATTTTTGAAAAATAGTCATTTAGACGTAATTGCAGTGATTTAGTATCACTTCTATCCGTTGCCCTTTCACATCAAAGACAATCCATCAGTGTGCACAATTATCAAAGTAGTTATTCTGAACGGTACGGTACGCCTCTTACTGTTCGTTAACTTCCCCAAATCATATCGTTTTTACATTATCAAGGTACATAATCGTTCGCATGTAGCTGAAGTTCAAATTATCTCGAAATTTCTATTGTTAAGAATGTAGGAAAAGTGATACGTGTTCAACATTCGTAACAAAAGTTTAGTTTTGACGTTTCATCTCACAGATGAAGGGACGCTTGTAGACCAGGCAGCCATGGTCATTCCAACGACGATTGGACCGGTACACCTCAACGCAATCCAATTCCCCATGGTTATTGGGTTCACCGGGCTGCCAGAAGGTGTAGCTGCTATCCTTGAAGAGGGTTCCGTCGTCCCATTCAAACCTCCTCTGGTTCCAATGGAAGTCTCGGAGCCCGATCCAGTATGAAACGGCCTTCTCAGCTCCATTCTCCTCGAAGATCTTGTGGATATGGGTGGCCTCCTCCTCCGAGTTGACGGTCACAAGGAAGGACTTTCCAGGGTTAAGATTGTAGCAGTATTCGCGGGCTTCAAACCATGTCAATGGGATGCCGACGTAACGATAGCATCGCCCACCCCGGAACTGAGACCAGAGTGGGGGGCAACAGGCTTGGCTTAGCCCGGTGACGAATAGGATAGCCACGATGATCAGTAATAGCTTCATCCTGAAGACTCACTGTAACTCTGTGTATAGTTTGACTACAGGTTGTTCTGCGGGTCCACAATGAATCGAATGAACCGACGTCGACGATAGCATGGCCTGAATTGGGCCCGTGTCTCATTTCATTTCAATCTTTAGTAACAGCACTTCAGGTACTCAAGGGTAACTAACTACCAAGCCCAACCCATCCCAACCCAGCCTGGGTTGAATTCACCGTGCATACAAGAGTGCAAATTCCACGAGTGACGTGAGCCCAACCCGTGATTTGTATTTGCACGATAGCGACCGTAACACAGACTGCACGCCACCTCTGTCATTCCTCGGAAAAAGAGGACAGTAGGCCTATAATATTGACATATTGACAGTTAAACATCTCCTAACATCAAAATATCAACAACACGTACAATCATACCATACTTTTACCGAAGTCCAAAAGAATGACATCAGTCTGGCCTCGATGCTCCAAAGTAGTTGCCCAGTCGTGTACAGATGTTTGTGTGGCAGGGCCAAGTAAAGCGACTCGGACTATATTCCGCATCGCTGTTTTCGTCGACACTTGCCCGGAAACCACCAATACCACAGAAACACAAACTGCGCTTTGTGGCAACCATACGCCCATTCTGTTCCCAATCATCTCTCTTAAGGCTATCAAGGCCTACAAGCATGTCTTCTGCGCATATTGCAATGACGCATCTTTACAGCCAATAGGCCGCAATCGTCTAAATTGTAACATTTATGGAGGCCTATATGGAGGCCTATACTCCTTACCTCAATCAGTGATGCGTGACGAGTAAGGTTGTGTACTATCCGCTCTCCCTCTTTTTACATAAATTTTGCGTCATTTTGAAAGAAATATTGCCACTTCTGCTTACAGTCATTTTAGATAGATACATCTTACCATGACTGACAAGGATCCAGCAACTAAAGCACATCGGAGTCGCCGAAAACCCAGCTCAAAAAAAGATCTCCCGAGCCCGAATGACAGCGACCAAGATGGCGGCTATGTTGCGTCATGCGTATGCAGTGACAAGCTATCGATCATTGACGACAAGCTTGACAAGGTTCTGGCGTCAATCACTAACATCGAATCACGACTGACCTCCCTAGAGCTTAAGCACCAACAGACCCACCAGCAGGTGTCTTCAAATGCCACAGACATCGCTGAACTCAAAACATCTGTAACGTTTGTCCAGGAAAGTCATGACGCCATCAAAAAGCTGATCAACACAAAAACCGAGTACAACCTGCGGATCATCAGGAACCTCGAAGACAAGATTGATGACATCCACAATCGAAGTCGCCGTAACAACGTTGTCATCCAAGGCATTCCTGAGAGATCTGAGGCCGGATCGGAATCGTGCGAGGGCTTCGTCCATGAGCTCTTGGCCAATCATCTAAAGCTCCAGGGTGCCGACGAGATCGAGATCGACCGGGCACATCGCACGGGTCCACCACCCGGTACAGGCTCAGCTGCAGCACTCAGCTCACCACGCCCAAGACCAATTCACTGCCGGCTTCTTCGATACAGCGATCGTCAATTCATCCTAAAGAATGCAGCAAAACATCTGAAGAACAACAAGTTCAAGGGCAACAACATCTTCATAACGGACGACGTCACACCCAAAGTCAGGGCCCAACGCAAGCAGCTGAGGGAAATGCACCTGCGACGCATTCAAAGAGAGGAGCGGGTCCACTTTGCGTACATTCCTTGGTCAGTACCAGCCATGATCAGGTACAAGATCCAAGATGGCCCGTTCAGATCATTCCGTCTTGAGGGAGACGCCTGAAGTCAACAATGCATCACAATGTTCACTTACATTTAATCTTCACTGCTCTATTCATGTCCTTTGTTTTGTGTATTTATGTGTGTGTATTTGTGCCTCAGTGTGAGACAAGCCGACATCACAAGTTTATCCTGCTTATTCTGGTGAGTTATATTTCGTGCTTGATATGTTTTGATTTTGTTTTTATTAATTAACCAATAAACATACCCTATTGAATGACTTCTGATATAGATCCAGATACAAATTTTGATATTCCCGACAAAAATTGCTATTACTACGACCAGGATGAATTCAGTGATCATTTCATTACGAACACCGATATTAAATTATTACATTTCAATGCTCGTAGCTTACGAAAAAACGTATCAAGCATTAATCAGTATATTAACTTACTACGGAAGGATTTTGCAGTTATTGGAATATCGGAAACCTGGTTAAATGATATTCATGACCCTCTAATACAAATCCCAAACTATATCATTGAGGGAACCTGTAGACAAGACAAGAGGGGTGGTGGGGTTGCACTTTATATACAAGAGGATTTGGTATATAAAGTTCGCAACGACTTATCAATTAACAATTCCGATATTGAATCATGTTTTATTGAAGTTATAAATACAGGTAAAGCGAATGTTATTATTGGAACTGTCTATAAACCCCCCTGTGTTTTAACCAACAACTTTACAGAATGCTTTAGTACTGTTTTGTCACTTATATCTAGTGAAAATAAAAAATGTTATATAATGGGTGACTATAATATCAACTTACTTGAGTATGACATTGACAATAGTGTGCAGACCTTTATGAATACTGTTCTATCTCAATCATTTTATCCAACTATTGACAAACCAACAAGGATCACTGCTGATAGTGCAACTCTAATTGATAACATTCTAACCAATGACCTTTCGAATCTTTCCTCTGGTGTTTTGATGACTGACGTCACAGACCATCTCCCCGTATTCTTAGTAACCAACAGTGTCAAAGAAAGTCCCCGAACCAGCAACAAATTCCAAAAACGTACTTTTAATGCCAGTAATGTTGAAAACTTCATTAATGATCTAAATATGATTGATTGGGATTCTGTAATATCAATAAACGATATACATCGTATGTATAATAATTTCCTATCAAATGTCCAACAACTTTATAATAAAAACTTTCCTTTACAAGATGTTAAATGCCGATACAATAAATGTAAATCCCCATGGTTATCTGATGGTATTTACATTTCTATCAGACGAAAAAATCATTTGTACCGAAAATTTACGAGGAACCCGACTGCGACTAATAAATCTGTTTATACTCTGTATAAAAACAAATTGAATTCTTTAATCAAATTAGCCAAAAAAGAATATTTATACACAAAATTTAGCGAAGTGCAAGGTAATATCAAGGGTACTTGGAAAGTTATTAATTCATTACTTAACAAGCGCAAGCAAAACGTAAACACATCTTACTTCTTTCAGGATGGTAACGAAATTAACAATGACAAGGAAATTGCAGAAGCATTTAACGACTACTTTGTTAACATCGGCAGTAGCCTCTCCAGTGAACTCCCGTTATGTAACACTTCCTTTGATTCATTTCTAAGCAACAAATGTCCAAATTCACTGTTTCTTACACCTATTACCAAGGAAGAGGTTGTTGACTATCTTAACAAAATACCTTCTGGGAAGGCCCCTGGATTTGATGGTTTAAGTTCTTCTGTCATCAAACAAGCACGGTATTCTTTAGCTAAGCCCTTGTCTGACATCTTTAACAAGTGTTTGACAGCTGGAGTCTTTCCCGATGATCTAAAAATAGCCCAAGTAACACCGATATATAAAAAAGGTTGTAAGCATAACATTACCAACTATAGACCCATATCAGTCCTATCTACATTTTCAAAACTATTTGAAAAGCTTATTTACAAACGATTAGTATCTTTTATCACTAAAAATAATATTCTTTCTGAGTCTCAATTTGGATTTAGACAAAATCGTTCAACTGAATTAGCGATATCATATGTAGTTAATAAATTATGTAATGCAATTGATCAAAATAATTTCTCCATAGGCATTTTCTTAGACTTATCAAAAGCATTTGATACTGTAAATCACGATATTCTTATAAGTAAATTAGATCATTATGGAGTGCGGGGAACAGCTTTGGACCTTCTGAAAAGCTATCTGTGTAACAGAAACCATTATGTATCGTTTCAATCTGTAACTTCAACTAGCCGATTCATTACGTGCGGGGTACCTCAGGGTTCCGTATTGGGTCCTCTACTATTTCTTCTTTATATTAATGATATATGTAATACTTCAGACACTGTAACATTTTGTTTATTTGCAGATGATACAAGTTTGTTGTACACTCACGATAATGTAGATGAAGCAATTAGTAACCTAAATATGGAACTTGAAAAGATCAGTACATGGCTTCTCGCAAATAAATTATCTATTAATGTTGTCAAGTCAAATTATATGATTTTTTGTGCCAATCAGTACAAGTACACACAATCTGTTCCTCTGAATTTAAATAACTCAAGGCTTAATCAGGTTAAGATAACTAAATTCCTGGGTGTAACTATTGATGAAAATCTCACTTGGAAACATCATATTGATGAAGTAGCGACAAAAATATCAAAGAACGTTGGAATAATGAATCGTTTGAAATATTATCTTCCGAGTAAGATTTTATTAACATTGTATAATTCATTTGTTTTACCATATTTAATTTACTCAATCTTGACCTGGGGCAGTTTGCCATCTAAGTGTAACAAATTACTTACTTTACAGAAGCGAGCAGTTCGTTTAATTTCAAATGCTGGCTATCGTGATCATTCTGCTCCGTTATTTGCTAAATTAAATATATTACAATGTAATGACTTATATTACCTTAATTTAGGAAAATTAATGTTTAAATTTAAGCATAATCTACTCCCGTCCTGTTTGGATTCTTGTTTCACCTTAGCATCTAATGTTCATGTATATAACACCCGAAGTAGTGCTAAGGGAAATCTGTTTGTCCAATTTAATAGGACGTCAATGTCAAAAAACAGTGTGGTTCATCAAGGCACCTTGTACTGGAATAGTTTAGATGATTCTCTTAAACTGTTACCCTCACTATCTGTCTTTGTCAAAAAATTAAAAAATCATTATATCGAATCATATTCATAAATTGAAATGTTATATGTGCATTAATATTTAGGCCTTGTCTCACACACTTGTCCTGTCTGTCTACCGTTGTGTTTTGTTTGTCCCTTATTACAGTACTTTGGTTGTATGTCTGTCCATAGGTAAGGGCACAAAAGCGTCTGCTTAACCTTATACCTAACTGTTGTCATTTAATATTACACTTATTAGTAATCACTGTGTACATAACTGTCATATATATTACTATTGACCTTTCTTAATTTATACATGATTGTACATAATTGTAATGAATGACATCATTGAAATAAATGTTTCCAAACTTCCATTCATTCCAGCTTTCCTACAAAAAAAACGCGTTCAGTTCATAACGAGGAGCGTCGTTTTGGTGTCCCCAGCCTAGCTGCCCCATTGATGATTGGTCAATGTAGTCTTTGGCAACAAGTACGATCCTTTTTTTGGCGTGTTAGTAGTGCAACTATGGTATCGGTCCCAACTAAAGTTGGGATCGTCCCAACTATAGTTAGGACGGTCCCAACTGTAGTTCCACAGTTGGGCTGGCCCAACTATAGTTGGGAGTCATCAAGGGGGCCCATCAATAGTTGGGCCACTCCAATCTTTTTATTTTGCGTACATCAATCTAGTTGTACATCAATCTAAACTATAGTTGGGACACCGCAAAATAAAAAGATTGGAGTGGCCCAACTATTGGTGGGCCCCTTGATGACTCCCAACTATAGTTGGGCCAGCCCAACTGTGGAACTACAGTTGGGACCGTCCTAACTATAGTTGGGACGATCCCAACTATAGT